GTCAGTCTCAAAGTTACCTGCTACATATTTTCATTTATGTAATATTCTGAAATGGTAAAAATTATTTTAAAGTGGGATCCTCAGTTATTTGGGATGGGCAAAATTAGGCATTACTGTCATACCTTGTTTTATTGTTTTACAGATACTGTGTTGTTGTTTTTTTTTTTTAATAAAAATTGAAGGTTTGTGGCAGCCCTGTGTCCAGGAAGTCTGCCGGTGTTTTTCCCAACAGCATTTGCTCACATTGTGTCTCTGTCTAGCAAAGTTTGCTAATTCACCCATTATTCCACACATTTTCGTTATTATTACATATGTTGTGGTGGTCAGTGATCTTTGGTGTTACTATTGGAATTTGGGGGCAGGGCGCCTCGCACTGCGCCCGTGTAAGATGACAGACTGAAGCAGTAAATGGACCTCCCCGCCCTCTCTTTCTCCCTGGGGCTCCCTGTTCCCGGAATCATGACGACATGAATATTAAGCCGATCAGTAACCCTGCAGTGGGCCCTGAGTCTTCAAGTGAAAGGAAGGGTCACGTGTCTCTCAGTCTGAATCAAAAGCTAGAAGTGATTAAGCTTAGTGAGGAAGGCACACTGAAAACTGAGGAAGGCCGAAGCCTCTCATACCAGACAGCAGGGTTGTGAACACAAAGGCCAAGTTCTTGAAGGAAATGGAAAGTGCTGATTCCACAAAGGCAGGAGAAGGTTTGAAGCTAGCAGAGGTTGGTCCGCGAGGTGTAAGGAAGGCAGCCATGTCCACAACATGGAGTGCGGGGTGAAGCAGCATGTGCTCCAGAAGACTGGGCTGAGATGGTTCATGAAGGTGGCTGCCCCGGACAACGGGTTTTCAGTGCAGATGAAACGCTCTTAGACTGCAGAAGACGCCATCCTAGACTTTCGTAGCTGGAGAGGCCGCGCCTGGCTTCAGAGCTTCCAAGGACAGGCTGACTCTTGCTGGGACTTACGCAGCTGAGGACTCTACCTGAAGCCAGTGGTCAAATTGCCAGTCTAAATGTTCTGAAGAATGAGGCCACCTGCTCCACCCGTGCTCCACAAATGGAACAACAAAGCCCACGTGACAGCATGTCTACTTACAGTGTGGCTTATGGAATATTTTAAACCTGCTGTTGAGACCTACTGCTCAGGAAGTAAGATTCCTTTCAAAATGTTCCTGCTCACTGGCAGTGCACCTGATCACCCCAGAGCTCTGATGGAGATGTGCAGTGAGACTGAAGTTTTCTTGCCTGCTGAAACATCCAGTCCATGGCCCATGGGTCAAGGAGTACTTAATTTTGACTTTGAAGTCTTATTGTATTTGAGAACTACATTGTGCAAGGCTACAGCTGTGGTAGACAGTGACCCCTCTGATGGATCTGGGGAAAGCAAGTCAGAAACCTTCTGGGAAGGATTCACGATTCGAGATGCTGTTGAGGACGTGGATGACTTGGGGGGCTCAAGACTGCAGTGGAGGAACTAACTGCAGGTGTGGTGGGGCTAGCAAGAGAACTGGAGTTAGAAGCCCAAAGAGGGGACTGAATGGCTGCCACTTCCTGATCGAACTTCAACTGTGAGGACTTGCTTCTTATGAGTGAGGACAGATAATGGTTTCTCAAGATGGAATCTACTCCTGGTGAAGATTCTGTGAAGACTGTTGAAATTATAAAGGATTTATATAGAATATTACATAAAAGTAGTTGATGAAGCAGCCACGAGGTTGTAGAGGGTTGACTCTCATTTTGACAGTTCTTTGGATAAAGGCTGCCCCACAGGGCCATGGGCTACAGACACACTTTTGCTGAAAGGAGGAGTCATTGTGGCAAACTTCACTGCTGTCTGCTTTTAAGGGATAGGCACAGCCACCCCAGCCTTCAACAACCACCTCTCTGATGGGTCAGCAGCAGTCAGGGCTGAGGCCCTCTGGCAGCAAAAAGGTTACAACTTGCCGAAGGCTCAGATGATGGTAGCATTCTTTAGCAATAAAGTATTTGTTAATTGAGGTATGTATGTATTTTAGACATAATGCTATTTCACACCTAGTACACTACAGTACAGTATAAACATGACTTTCATATGCACTGGAAGACCACAGAATTCACGTGATTCATTCTATTGCAATGTTGGCCTCATTGCGGTTGTCGGAAACTGAACCCACAGCATCTCTGAGGTTCGCCTGTGTAGGATATTTATAAAGTTAGGAATTGTTTAGGGGAAGAATGGGAATTCCAAGGAGGGACTCTCAGTTTGGGACCCATCAGACCAAGGGCCCAGCAGCTGTAAATAATCGCTTAAGCTAGAACTTCACTTGCTCCGTGTGGTCCTCTGTGCTTGAATCCTTTCGGGACACACTGTCTTCTAGGACTGGCCTGAGCAGTCGCCTGCAACACTCATCTCGGGGAGCCAGGCAGGAAGAAGGTTAGGGCAAACGTTCTTTAAGAAGTATGGAGCATTCACCACAGCTGCAGTTAGAGGGATAAGAGGGATGACTATTTCCATGATCTGAGGCTGTGTTAGCTGAGCTGCTTTTTGGTTATAAGCAGCAAAGTCGCTCAGTTTACCTGAGAGATTTATTGTAAAGAATCCATCTCAGTTGGCTTGATGGAGACTTGGCGTTGGTGCAGCCACTGGATTCACTTTGCTGTTATCTTTTTTGTCCTCAGGTTCATGTTACCAGCTCTAGTGTGTGTACCATTTGGATGAGTCAGCCTATCTCTTTTTCCTCCTACTCTGTTTCTCTGGTGACTGTATAAACTCTCTAATCCATTCACTCATTTCTTTTAGCTTCATACTTTTTTTTTTTTAAAGATTTTACTTCTTTTTAGGGGGAGTGAGAAGGAAGACAGGGAAAGAAACATCAGTGTGTGGTTGCCTCTTGTGCATCCCCTTCTGGGAACCTGGCCCAAAACCCAGGCATGTGCCCTGACGGGGAATTGAACCGGTGACCTTTAGTTTACAGGCCAGCACTCAGTGGAGCCACATCAGCCAGGGATGGCTTCATACCTCCTAAAAGAAAGGATCAGATAGGGTTGTCCAGTTGGGCAAAGTTCTCATGTATTACTCTAAGTCCCTTTTGATAGCCTTTGAGTCAGAAGATGATTTCTTGGTCATGGTCATTTGTAGCCAGAGCTTTGGGGTCTCACCATCTAAATAACAGTGGTCTTATTATAAATGTCTGTGGTCACTTTACTCAGAAGGAACTTATGTGGCCTTGGTAGACACACAGGACATCACAGATTAGTCTCTACTCATGGGTCAGTGGGAGCTTTCAGACTGAGTGGGAAGTGTGAAGTGCTGTACATGCTCATGGTGAGCAAAACAAAATAACGTTAACTTACGTGATTCTGCAGCCTTGTGGACAATGGAGGGTTTTATTTATTTATTTTTAGAGAGCTGGGAAGAGAGGGAGAAAGAGGAATAGAAACACTGATATGTGAGAGAAACATGAATTGGTTGCCTCTCATGCGCCCCAGACTGAGGACTGAACTCACAACCCAGACATAGGCCGTGACAAAGAATTGAACCAGCAACTTTTCAGTTCACAGGATGATGCCCAACCCACTGAGCCACACCAGTCAGGGCATGAAGGGAGTGTTTTACAAACTAATAGCAACTCGGGTATATTATACTTCTGATTTTTTTTATTCTTTAGAGTTTTTGTTATAATTATTGAATACTTACTAAATAAGAAAGAAGGATCAAAATGTATGCCAGGATGTATACATATAGCTGAACCATTAAATATGATTGGGAAAAAGAAAAGAATGTATTGTTGTGACCTGTAGTCCACTTAATGTAAAAGGAATTAGAAAGCCCGTTACAGCAGTGATTTTCAGTTGGTGGCCTGCAAGAATTTTTACAATGTGCAGTGCCTGACTGTTTTGTCAGGGGCACTGACTTCTTTTCTCTTAGATCATCCAGTACAAAGTGACACCAGACAATACAGCAAGAACCCTCCAGTGTGCATGATCAAAATCTTATCCACTTTTTTGTCAGATTGGTAAAAAATACATTTTGGGGGGTACCGCAGAATTTTAGTAATTAGTTTATGTGTGCCATGAGATGAAAAAGGTTGAAAACATTGCCTTAGAGTATAGGTCTTTCTGTACACTTTCTTACTTTGCTACCATCCGTGAAGATCCACAGACCTTGTTAAGAGTTTTATGTATGAAGATCTTTGGGGGTGGCATGTACCAATGTCTGAGGAATGACATTTTGTGGGTGACCAATGTGCCTACTACTTGCTGTTCTCTCCAAGAAAATTGGTTGGGACACGTTGGGACCATGAAGAGTGGTTTCTAAACGTTTGTTGAAGCACAGAGAGGGCCAAATGCAAGTTCCAGCTCATCTTGATTTTGTCAGTAGCGTCATTCAGCTTAGCTTTATGATGCCGCCCCTGTTATTATATTGCCCCTTTGCTCAAGGCTGGTAGAAACGGCTTAGTGGACAGGACTCCTGGGTGGGATGTGAGTCTCACACAGGAAGGAGTGGTCTCTGAGGTGGCCTACGACCAGAGACAGAGAGGGTTGACGCCCAGCACCAGGGCATGGTTTTTGGGTTGTGTTGAGTCCGCCTAGAGTGCCTTTGCCAGATTCGAGGCCTAGAGGAGGAGGAGGAGAGAAGCAGGGGGGGTGGGCATGACAAGAAGGCGGTCCCCTGAGGTCTGGACAATAGATTGAAAGAATTAGTGCTGACTCTAAGCAAGAAGGAAGCTCTCAAAGGAAAGGTCTTTAAAGCCCTGGGGGCTGCGTCTGGGATAGAGAAGGAATGTGAATTCTCCGAATTCTTCTCTTTCTCTTCATTTTTTCCAGTGAAAGTCAGACTGAAAGACAAAGCAGTCCACTTGCTGTATGTATCCAGGGGTCTTTGTTTTAGAATATAATATTTTTCTGTCCTTTGTGCTTAGTGATTAAAGCTACATAGAAGAGGCAAATCTGACCTCAGTCCGAGGGTTCTTTGCTGTCTCAGAGTCACATCGTCTCTGATTTTACCTATTATTTTCCCCTTCAGGCTGCTTGATAGGAGCTGTGAATCTCAAATCCAGCAACCGAAACCCAGTGGTACCAGAATTCGAAAGTAAGTACCAGGGAGACTGTGTATGAGGAGAATGGGCACCATCTAATGGACATTCTGCAGTCTTGCAGCCAACTCAGAGCAAACACGCACATACATGTAGTACCAGAGAGATGTTCTGGCGGGTGACGCTCACCGGGTGGCAGCTCACTAGTGTGTTTGCTGTGCCTGCGCCCCAGGGGACCCCTGCTTTGGCAGCCCCAGGGACCTCTGCAGGGGTTGGAGTGGCCCAAGTCTGGCTCCTGTCCTGGCTTTGCCCTCACACAAGAGAGGAATTTCTTACACACAGGCAGATTATGAGGTGGAATGTCTACTCTGTTTAGTAGGGGTTCTTGCTGATCATCTTTATGCTTTTTCTGGCTAAAATCAATCTTTTCTTAAAGTCTCTTGGAGCCTGGAGATGGCTGGGTTTTCAATCTGCACGAAAGGCCTCTCTAAAGCTGCAGAGAGCTCGCATGGTCTGGGTGTACAAGGAACCTGAAGTCGTTCCACGTGCCCTGAGAATTCTTTTTTCTTTGCTCCTTAGGTGTGGAGCTGTCTTGTATCATTACAGATTCACAGACACATAACCCCAGGATTGAATGGAAGAAAATTCAAGATGCCCAAACCACATACGTGTTTTTTGACAACAAAATTCAGGGTAAGCTCCTGTGGTCTTTCCTTTGTCTAAAAGGTCCAGACACGCCCTTGGGGCTGGAGTGTCTCTTTCCTCCAGCTGGTCCTGCCTTTGTAGCCCAGGACTGGTTTTTTTTGTTTTGTTTTGCTTTACTTACAGAACATTTGAACCTGTAAAGGTATTGAGAGTAGCATATTGAACCTGCCTGACCCTGTCACCCAGCTTCAACAAATACCAGCTCATTAGGACTTTAATCTCTCTGCAGAATATCTCTGTAAAGTATCAGAGTGAACATTTTCCTGGGTCGTCTTTTTCCATGATCCGTGACGTTAGTGATGTGAGTTAATCTGAAGGATCGTGTGGAACAGCAATGAGACAAGCATTTGTATTTGACGAGTATTTACTGGGTGCAAGTGTACCGCACTGAGAAAGCACTTGTGGACCGCTTGGCAGGAAATTATCCTGTGTTAGGACAGAGGTGGGCAGAGGGTGCTCTTGGTTACAGGAAGTAGGCACAGGTCAGGTGGCCATGAAAGGCTTCCCAGAAGTGACCTTCAGGCAGGCGTGCGAGGAAAGGCCAGTGGTGAGGCATGGGGGGAAATGGGTTGGGTAAGGGAAGAAGATTGTATATAAAGATACAGCAGCAAACGGCAGCTTGGTTTATTAGAGACACAGCATGGGCTCCCCCACAGCTGGGACTTAGACAAGGGTGGGGGGAGCGGGGCTCCATTCAGAGGGGTGCCAGGGCCAAGCAGTGCACCCTGGCGAGGAGGGACAGGCTCCTGAGGGCCCGTGGACAGATTCAAAGGCGAGAGTGGCTTGATGACATTTATGCCCTAGAGCTATCGAATTGGCCACTTTGAAGAAGAGATTGGAGAAGGGCAGACTTTGGGGCAGGGCAACAATTCGGCATCCTTTTGTGGGATCCAGGAGGGAACTGCTGGTGGCCTGAGCCGAGGTGGGGGTCAAGGCTGTGGAGAGCAAGATGGAAGGAGGACAGTGGAGGCGTTGCTGGGAATTAGCTGTCAGGAGGGAGGGAGACGAGGAGCCACAGGAGACTGGAGGTGGGACAGGACCGCGGTTGGGCAGGAGGGAGGGAGCGAGTGTGAGGCACACTTGCAGGTGAGTTGTCAGTGGGCTGGCTCAGAGTTCTCAGAGAAGTGGACAGTTGAGGTTTGGGAGATGGGAAAGGGGTTTCGTGGAAACAGCCTGCATTCATGGTCTTTCTGCTTCAGGTCCTCAGTATGATCTGGGCTTACGGGCTCGGAACATGGCTTTGCTTTCCCACCAACGCTGGCCCTCACCCCTTATTTTTGAAGAAAGAATGTTGTTCTCAGAAAACAAATCCATTTTCTCTGGCAAATTAGGCTGCTCCTGATAAGCCCTGTTCATGCAGTTTGTCACTGGAGAAACCAAATGGGAATTTCCCCCAGACGCTTTCCATTTCTGGGAATTAGAGGCCTCACGCTGAGCCCGCAGGGTGGGCAGACTGTTCGCCACACAGAGCGAGAGGGCTGGAGGGACACCCAGTCTGCTTGGCCTTCTCAACCCAGGACCACTCCCACGCCTCCTGCCGGGCTCTCACCCACCATGTTCTGGTGTGTGAGTTCCAGTCCTCCGCCCAGGGCCGCTGGACAGCAGGCCTTCCTGTCGGCAAATGCCTCTGGAAGTGTGTGTCCTCCGCCAGGAGAGTTCGCTGTTTGTACCACATTATCCTAAATTCTTCTTTTCACTAAACGACGGGTTTAGTAGTAATTAGTTACTACTTTTTTTGTGCCATAGCTCCTTTTTTAGTTGTCATTCTTAAGCTTCAGGCTTCTTTAAAAACTGAGATGTTCAACTTCCAGCCAAGATGGAGGCACAGGTAGACACACTGTGCCTCCTCGCACAATCAAAAGGAGGACAACAACAATTTAGAAACAAAAAAGCAACCAGAACTGACAGAAAATTGAACTGTATAGAAGTCAGACAACCAAGGAGTTAAAACAGACACATTTATCCAGACCGGTAGGAGGGGCGGAGTCGGGCGGCCTGGCGGAGAGGGGTTGCGGCACAAAGGGCAGTGGTGCCGAGCGTGCAAGGCTCCCCGGGTGCGCAGGCAGCGGCTGGCGGACCCCAGGTGCAGGGTGGCAACGGGCAGACCCAGCGAGGTGGCAATTATGAACCAAGACACTGTGAACAAGGTGTCTGGCTGACCAGGCTGTCTCACATTCATGAGCAGATAAACCAGGCAACTGGGGAGCGAGACAGACTGCGCAACCCAGGGTCCTAGTGCCGGGAAATAAGCCTCAGAACACCAATTGTAAACACCTGTGGGAGTTGAGGCGCAGGGAGAGACTCTCAGCCTCACAGGAGAGTTCATTAGAGAGACCCACAGGGTCCTAGAATGTACACAGGCTCCCCCACATGGGAATCAGCACCAGAAAGGTCCCGTTTGCTTGGGGGAAGCTGCAGAAGGGACTGAAATCCAATGGAGAGCGGAAAAAGCACCATTACTCCCTCTCTGACCCCGCCCCCACATACAGCATCACAACCCAGCCACTGGGTGGCCCCGCCCTGGTGGACACCTAAGGCTCCTCCCCTCATACATAACAGGTGCGACAAGACAAAAAATATCGCCCAAACAGAAGAACAAATCAAAGCTCCAGAAAAAGTAAAACTAAGTGACCAAGAGATAGCCAGCCTATCAGATACACAGTTCAAAGCACTGGTGATCAGGATGCTCACAGAATTGGTTGAGTTTGGTCTCAAATTAGGTGAAAAAATGAAGGCTATGCTAAATGAAATAAAGGAAAATGTACAGGGAACCAGTAGTGATGGGAAGAAAACTGGGACTCAAATCAATGGAGTGTACCAGAAGGAAGAAAGAAATAACCGAACAGAAAAGAATGAAGAAACAAGAATTCAAAAAAAATGAGGAGAGGCTTAGGAACCTCTAGGACACCTTTAAATGTTTCAACATGCTAGTTATAGGGGTACCAGAAGAGGAAGAGGAAGAGCAACAAGTGGAAAACTTATTTGAACAAATAATAAAGGAGAACTTCCCCAGTCTGGCAAAGGAAATAGACTTCCAGGAAGTCCAGGAAGCTCAGAGAGTCCCAAAGAAGTTGGACCCAAGAAGGAACACACCAAGGCACATCATCATTACATTAGCCAAGATTAAAATGAAGGAGAGAATCCTAGAAGCAGCAAAAGATAAGGGGACAGTCACCTACAAAGGAGTTCCCCTCAGACTGTCAGCTGATTTCTCAAAAGAGACCTTACAGGCAAGAAGGGGCTGGAAAGAGGTATTCCAAGTCATGAAAGGTAAGGACCTACATCCAAGATTGCTCCATCCAGCAAAACTTTCATTTAGAATGGAAGGACAGATAAAGTGCTTCTCAGATAAGATCAAATTCAAGGAGTTCATCATCACCAAGTCCTTATTATATGAAATGTTAAAGGGACTTATCTAAGAAAAAGAAGTAAAAAAATATGGACAGTGAAAGGACAGCAAACTCACAGTTATTAACAACCACACCTAAAACAAAAGCAAACTAAGGGCTTGCTTAGTTTCTAAAAGCAAAATAAGAGGGCAGCTAGATCAGGAGCAGAACTATAGAAATGAAGATCACAAGCAGGGTTAGCAACGGGGGAGTGGGAGAAGGAGAAGGGGGGAGAAGGTACAGAGAATAAGTAGCATAGATGGTAGGTAGAAAATAGACAGGGTGTTGGAATAGTGTTGGAAATGTAGAAGCTAAAGAACTTATGACACATGGACATGAACTAAAGGCAGGGAATGTGGGTGGGAGAGGGTGTGCAGGGTGGAGGGAAATGGGGGGGAATGGGACAACTGTAATGGCATAATCAATAAAATATATTTTTAAAAAAACACAAAAAAAACCCTGAGATGTTCAAACAGCAAAAAACTCACTTTTTAAAAGTGTATATTCAGCAAATACATGAACCATTATTACTGTCAAATTCTGGAACACTTCTGTTTTGCCCCCCACAGAAAACCCTGTACCCATCGGTAGTCTGTCACTCCCCATCTCCTCCACTGCTCTGCCCCCCGCCCCCTGCCCTTTTTGTGGCAACCACCAATCTACTTTTTCCTGAAGGGATTGCCTGCTCTGGACGCCTCGTGGAGACGGAATCGCACACCACGTGGTCCTTTGTGAACAGCTTCTTCCACTGAGCATGCTGTTTCCAAGGCTCGTCCGTGTTGTAGCACGTGTCATTACTTCCTTTTATAAAACAGGGATCGATAATATTTTATTGTCTCATCAGTTCATGGACATCTGAGTTATTTTCACCTTTTGGCTGTTATCAACAATGAATGCATTTATGTACAGATTTTTGTGTGGACATCATTTCTTGGGGATAAATGACCAACAGTACAATTGCTGGGTCATATAGTAGTTGTCTATATAGGTTTTTGTGTGTTTGTGTGTGTGCGTTTTAAGAAACTGCCAAACTGTTTTCCAAGTTGCTGTACCATTTTATATTCCTTCAGCAGTTTATTTCCCTAGATCCTCACGAACACTTGTAATTGCCCACCGTGTGGATTCTAGCCATCCTAGTGGGTGTGAAGCAGTATCTCATTGTGGTTTTGATTTGCATTTCCCTGGTGACTGAAGATGTTGAGTGTCTTTTCATGTAGTTATTGGCTATTTGCAGATCTTCTGAAACATGTCTATTCAAATTCTTTGTCCATTTTAATTAGGCTATTTGCCTATTTATTGTTGACTTGCAAATTCTTTATTACTGGTGCCTCGTTTTATTGCTCCTCACCTTATGGCACTTTACAGATGGTTGTGTCTTCTAACTAGTTGAAGGCAAGACCCTCCCCTAACAAAAAGATTAAAACTCGCTTCTTGTGTTACTTGCTTCATTGTGGCATCTGCAGGGTAGGCCTGTGTTCAGGTTACTACTCCTTTGTCAGATACATCATCTGTAAATGTTTCCTCCCATTCAGTGATTGTGTCCTTCACTCGCTGTGTCCTTTGAAGCACAAAAGTTTTTATTTTTATGGGAGTCCAGTGAAGGTGAATGTAACTGTGTGTGTGAGAGAGTTGTGTGTTCCTCTGGTGTCGTATCTAACAAATCATTGCCGATCCAAGGTCATGACAGTTTATGTCTGCGTTTTTCCTACGAGTTTCACAGACCTCACGTTTCAGTAAGGTCTTTGGTGTCGATGGTGTGAGGTGGGATTCCGGCTTCATTCTTTTGCCGCGTCATCTGTGGTTTTATTCAGTGGTGTTAGTTTGATTTCTTTCCTTTTAGTGGGGATCCCCTGCTGAGGCTCATGAGAAGGAAATGAGGTCCCTGCCTTAAAAACAGACACACGCCACGGGTGCTCGTACACACCAGGCACTGCGCCGGTGCTCGGTGTCGGCCGAGAGTTCACCTCCGTTACAGAGGGACGGAGACTGAAGCCAGTCTGTAGTCTTCTTACCGCAGCACCAAGTGCCGGGCCTGGAAATCACCTTCTTCGAGTGGCAAAGACATCTTTCCAGAGTCTTGGAGTGCCCTGTGTCTTCTTTTCTGTAGGTGATTTGGCAGGTCGTGCAGAGCTATTTGGGCAAACCTCTCTGAAGATCTGGAATGTGACCCGAACAGACTCAGCTCTCTATCGCTGTGAGGTGGTGGCTCGAAACGACCGCAAAGAGATGGATGAGATTGTCATTGAATTAACTGTGCAAGGTAGGGGCTCATACGAATTTAAAGTAGGTTCCCCCTTTCAGGCTTCATGAATCTCTATATAGAAGAAAAAAAAGAGACCAGCTCTTACCTTCTTTCCCTCTATAGCCACATTGCTGAGGGCATCACAGGACTTGGGGGGGAGACCTCAGGGACCTGGGAGTGCTGGAATTGGGTGGAGGGTGAGATGGAGGCAGAGTTTCTGCCACTTGCCTCCACCAGCGGTAGGAGGCACTGCTCAGGAGGTGGAGGCCTTGGGAACAGCTGTGGGCTGTGCCGGGCCTGGGGGTGAGCCACAGGAGCACATTTCAGGGGGCGCATCTCATGCAGTCTAGAGGCTCACGTGACCGTGGGGATGGCAGTGGTGCAGATCACTTGGCTGGCTCTCTTGTTTCAGGAGCGGATTTATTTCAGGCTCCAATAAGAATACAGCTGTGACACTGAGTTTGAACACCACCTTGTGTTTCTCCCGCAGTGAAGCCAGTCCCTCCGGTGTGCAGAGTACCAAAGGCTGTGCCTGTGGGCAAGGCAGCCACGCTGTACTGCCAGGAGCGGGAGGGCCACCCCCCACCACATTACAGCTGGTACCGCAATGACTTGCCCCTGCCGAAAGATTCCAGGACCAACCCCAGATTTAAAAACTCCTCTTTTCTCATGAACTCTGAAACGGGCACTCTGGTAAGACCTCTTCTGAGAGGCGAGGATGGAAACATCTTTGCTGGGGCAAGGGCAGCCCCTTGTGGAAAGAGCAGCTGTTAGGAGAGAGAACGAAATCTTTTAAGGTGGGAGCTGAGCATGCATGTCGGACATTCCCAGGAAAAGGTCCTGATGTGAATATCCAACTGTAAAACAATGAGATAACCAGAGACATCTGGTAATGGGCTGGATGTTGAGAGTAAGGAATTGTCTGTTGCCTTAGGCGTGATAATGGTATTGTAGTCATGATTAAAAATTTCATATCTTCTAGGGTTGCTTATTGAAGTGTTTGTGCATAAAATGTGTCTAGAATTTGTTTCAAAAGAATCAAAGCACCTTAGTGGGAAAGGGTGGGTCAGGGAAGAGGTGGAAGCACATTGGCCATACATAGGGGACAGACCTTCTGTGGACGCCTCACACCAGGCTCCAGGACACCCAGGACTGCAGACCTGCGCTGTACCTCACTGCAGAGGAGAGCCGGCGGGGTATAGGATGGGACCCTCTGTGTTTGTGTTGCCAACATGTTGCTTGAGGAACACTCATTATCAGAGTCCCTTCTCCTGAATCAAAGTCAGGCCCCGCCTCTCCTTCCGGATGGTGCTAGGCTTTGCGTTCTCCATATGCCAAAGGGCATCTGTTGTTCAGAGCTCTCAGGCAAGTGTCAGGAGAGAATATCAGGAGGGACCCCAGACAGTGACCCAGAAGCCAAAGAGGAACCAGGAGCTGAGGAGCAGACACTTTACTGTGTTCTGGGCTGAGCAGGTCGGCGGGAGGGGGGTGGAGGGGGGCAGGGTCTTCTTCCCCAGCCCTTGGGGGTCTGCCCTGCTCATTGGTCTCACTGTTCCCTTGTGGTTTCTGGGAGCAGGATTTCAGCGCTGTTCACAAGGAGGACTCCGGCCGGTATTACTGCATCGCTTCCAACGACGCGGGCTCAGCCAAGTGTGAGGAGCAGGAGATGGAAGTCTGTGAGTTGCTTTTTGAAAAGGTTTCCTGAAGACTGGCAAGTGGCTAGAACATGTTAAATTTAGTCTCAGCCCATCAGCTGAGTCAGCGCTTCTGCTTTCTTCCGTAGTGACTGGGTCCAGCCAGATCCACTCGGGCACATTCAAAGATGAGAAAGCTCTGAGTAATAGCTAAATGACTAATAACTGGTCCTTGCAATATGTTTATCTCCTCAAAATAGACTTTTTAGAGCCTTGTGGTGTTGGAAACATGGCTAATTACATAGCTTTTAACTGAGTGTAATCAACTCCATTACTTTGTAATTGATAAAAACATAAGGTTGTGTGAAGTCCTCAGAAACCCACCCAGTTGTAACCATTTTGCAGTGAGAGGAGCAGAGTGTTAGCTCCTGTTCTGTGACGACGCCCTCCCAGCAGCAGCGTCGGCCCTGGAGCACGAGGTGTCAAAGCCAGGGTGGGGGCAGGTGGGGCAGTCAGAAACACCTGGGGACTGGCCGCATCCCTCCCTCCTCCCCACGTGCACACACCCCTGAGCAGTGTTTGCCAGACTTGCCCCACCGTGAGACCCATTTGGGATCACTGTTCCACATTCAGCTTCTAGCACCACCCCCCAACTCGACAGGCCCCTCTCCAGGGAGGTCATGAAGCGTGTGTGCAGGAAGCCAGAGGAGGAGTCCGGACCTGGGGAATCTCTAGGGATGGAGCTTGGGAGTTGAGATTTTAAAATCGGAAGTTCCAGCTGATTTTTAAACATGCCCTCATACTGAGAGCCGCTCTGCTGGGGTAGGGGGAGTTTGCTGATGCATCCCCTGCGCATCTTTCACTGCATTTTTGTTTGCACCGAGGAAAGGGCCCTACCTAAGTGCTGTCACACTAGACAGGACCAAGTCCCTTTGCCCGTGATCCAGAGATGAGAAAACGGCGTCAGGGTTGCACCGGGGCCCATGGATGAGAGGCCCAGCACCCAGCGAGGGTCTTACTCTCACCTCGAATTTGTCACTGCTGGGAACTAGCTCTCTTCTCCCAGCTAATCACAGCCAAGGGAAGTCCCAAAAATTCAGATTTTTTCTTCCGTAAGACTCCTGGCTCCTAATTCTGTCTTTATAGTGTATCCATTTCTTCCAGTTGTAGTATTTGCAGAGATTTAGTTAGAGGCTCTCTGAGACCATCTTAACACGCAGTGCCAGACCCCATTCATTACAGCAGGAACTGTAACAGCATTTGAACTGTAGACGCCTCAGTACTTCTCACAGCTGAGATCAGGGGTTGTGGTGTCCTGTGTGTCTAGGAAAGAAAGAGTTTAACATGTTCTCACTTTGTTCTTCTGGCTGGAAGAGCCGGAGGGGCAGAGGGGGCGGGGAGGATAGAGGCGGGGAGGTGGTGTAGCAGGTCAACAGGCATCCTTCCTCCTGTCAATCTTCCTGTAACCCAGACGACCTGAACATCGCTGGGATTATTGGTGGGGTTCTGGTCGTCCTTGCCGTCCTGACCCTGATAACTGTGGGCATCTGCTGTGCGTACAGACGTGGGTACTTCATCAACAGCAAACAGAGTGAGGAAAGGTGAGCCTGTCTTTTGTGGAAAAACAATGTTCCATTTGGCATTAGGGTGGTAAGCAGTGATCACTGAATTACCCTCTTCTCCTACTTCACAGTTACAAGAATCCGGGGAAGCCAGATGGAGTTAACTATATCAGGACAGATGAGGAGGTACGGAGCAGGGGACCGAGCAGGTATCACATGGGAGACCTACACGTCGAGGTATCCCAGCAGGAACAGTGACACTCCTCCTTGGAAACCAAATTGGGCCCCTAGCAAAGAAGTCTCCCAGGGATAGTCCTGACCCTGAGCCCCTCAGCGTTCACAATAACATGTCCGTGCCAAGGGCTCTTAGAGTCGTAAGCTTTCGGTGCCACTTATTCAGGACGATTCATTTGATTTGCTTTGCCAGTTTCGTCCTCTGGGAATGGGGCCCTGCACTTGACCACCACTTTAGTCCCCCGTCCTGCCGGCCCCTGACTGGTGGAGGACGGCTGCGCTCTAACTTGGCTTTGGCTTTGCAGGGCGACTTCAGGCACAAGTCCTCATTCGTGATCTGAAAGCCAGCAGCGTGGCTGGGCGTGTACGCCGCCTCCCCTGGCAACGCCTGCACGGAGCAGCTCGGAGTGCAGTGCCCTTGGACAGCGCTGGACACTCTTGCAAAAAAGCTTTTCGTTTTGGCCAAAGTTGACCGCTACTCCTTTCTTACTTTTTAACAAGCCACATAAATAAAGAATTCTCCTCAAGATGGGCACCGTGGCTCACGGAGAGTCCTGCTCCGTTTCTCGTTAAAGGCTTTGTCGGTCAGTGTCGTGGTGTCGATTCTGGAGACTCTTCCTGGGTCAGCATTTTACAGACCACCCCAAACCAGAAAAGTGAATCGCTTGCTGGGAGCAGGGCCTCCCTGCCTGGAGGAGCCCCGCTCATCCGCAGAGGCGTCGGTGCGGGGGGGACAGCCTCCGCCTCCGCCAGCCGCAGTGTGAAGTGGTACTCAAGTAATGTTCTGCTTTTTTATGGGTGTTTCTTTTATAGAATTTCATATTCTAAATTTTTGCTAAACATGTATTTTGGTTATTGAAATTTCTATTTAAACTGTAAATATGTTGTCAGTGTTAGATAACCTATTTTTTTTAAGAAAACACACAACCTATGGTAGTAGTGCCAAGCTACTCGAGTTAAATTGGCAAACGTCGACATTAAGAGTATCTTTGTCCGAGGACCCCTCTCCAGGAGGCTTACCAGAACACTCCTTTTCCCACACGTGCGTTAGCAGTTTTCAGAAGAGAACTTGCGCTTTCTATACATCAGACCATTGTTGCTTAGGCAACCTTTAAAAACTCCGATTAAGTAATGCCAGAATCTGTTTACCATCTCTCTCAAAAAACAGAGCCTTTAGCCACAGTCCGTGCAAACCGTTAGCTCCCGGGTTGAGCTCACGACATCTGCTGCTTGCATGGGTGTCGGCTACTAACTCCGGAGACCAGCCCGCCAGCTTGCCCTGCACCTCTGACGCCCTGGCTGTGGCTCTGTGCCCTGGTTGGCTTTAATATCCTGTTCATGTCCCATAGGCACTCAGCCCAGCCCAGGACAGTTCCTAGGTGTCACTTCAGGAGTGGCAGATCCTCTCCCCGTGGCATCCCAGCCTTGGGGTTTCCCTGGGCTGGGCCCTTTTTGGTTGTGGGTGGCTCATGAAACAGATGCTACTGCTATTTGGCTTTTTTAAATTCACTTATTTGTGTAGTTCATAAGACTCTCCGGGGCCAAAGGCAGTTTTGAATCAAATCTGTTCACTATAATAATATTTTTAAAAGAAAGTGAATTCCTCTTGACTAGGAAGAAAGCCCCAAGGCACCAGGCTCTCACTTCGCAGTGCGCTGTCTTGTGGCCGCCCAGCACCAGCGGGCCTGGTAGGCTGTCAGGCAGAGCGCCAGGGCCGGAGGCCCAGGGCGAGGAGGGCGAAGTGCCCAAATCAAAGGCAGCTTTCTAGCTCCACCCACAACACCGCACCCTTGGTGGGGGATGGCAGAGACAAGCCTTTGTTCTCCGAGGGCAGATGTTCTTGGCCTCAGATAAGATGCCGAGTTAACTTATCATAATGTGATTTGAAGCAAGGAGCTTGTCGGAGGAATGCCTTGGGTTCCATTGTGTGCTTAGACGGTAGTTTTTATATAAGAACATAGTCACCTTGGGATTAAATTTGCATTGTCTTAGTTTTCTGTACTTTGAGGTTTTTACGACTTGAGACTTGAGACCCACGCTGACTTGGAGTCGAAGCCGCGTGGAGTGTTTGCCGTGGGACGGTGGGCAGCAGGCGGGACAAGTCTTCGCACCCGGGGGCGCCCACCGACCTGTGCGTTTGTGTCCTGAATGCTTACCTTGGGGCTCTCCCTTCAGCTTCACCTTTTCTAAAGGGACAGCCTCCCCTTTTCCTAATCAGTGGGGATCTTGGTTGTCACAGTGGTAGGGTGGCCTTTTTGCCCCCTTCTTGTGCCCTAAAACCTCAGGCCCTGGTGCCCTGTGGACTGGGTCTGACGGGAGAGTTGTGGACTGTGGAGTCTGGGGAGCCGGTGCCTTTACCGTGAAAATTAGGACAGCAGAGGCACGTTCGTGTTTTCAGATGTGATGTGACTAAGAACCGAGGCCTGTGCGAGGCTGTGGTGGCCTTTGGTGTGGCTCCTGTGTACATAGATGTGGCGGCCTTGTACTAACACACCTGTAAGTTGATGTTTGTTAAACCTCACTTATAAAAGCTTTTTAAAAAAATCAACGTTGCCTTATTGTGTCTCTTTATTTCCTCTCGTGCTGGGTTTACGCCTTCCTCCTGGCACTTTGTTTAGGTAAGTGCCCTCAGACAGACTGCCACCCCCGTTGACAGGAGTGGGAAATGAGTCTGTCCCCTCTGGGTAGCTCTGCAAGTCCCTCAACCGATGGCGTGTCCACAAGGGCCACAGCTCACATGCGGGAAGGCTGAGGTGGGTCACAGGGACAGACCCCCCAAGCCAACCCCACGTTTACACTGAAAACACGGTAACCCTTTCTTTCGCTTTGGTAGTCCTGGGAATAAAATCTGAACCCAGCGAATCTCTTCCTGGTCATTCTTGGAGAAAACACGCCATCCCTGTCTCGAGGTCGCCCGGTGGTGCCAGCAGCAGACTAACGCCGCACCGCTTGTGGGAGCGGGGCTTGGCGGCCCATCAGCACAGATTAGTGGTGGTGCCTCGGGGGCGAGGGGCAGGCGGCAGTGTCTCCAGAAGCAGGACCACGTTTACACACTTGGAGGGACGGACGAGTGCTGTCAGGAGGTGGCAGTGTCTGTCAGGGGCCAAAGGCGGGGGACAGATGAAAATCTTAAGAGTCGTTTTTCCCAAACAGGGAAGATTTGGTTTTATTAATTACTTTTTAAAGTCCTCACCTGAGGATATGTTTACTGACTTTAGGGATGGAGAAGAAGGGAGAGAGGGAGGGATGGAGGAGGTGTGTGTGTGCGGGGCAGGGGGAGGGGGGTGGAGAGTGAGGCAGCAGTCAATTGCCTCTGTACATGCCCTGACCGGGGATCAAACCTGCAACCTTCTGGTGCACCTGACAACACTCCAGTCAGGGCTGGTTTTATTATTCTTAAATATTTTATGTAAGTTAAGATATTTATAAAAGTTGTGCTCAAAAAAATAGAAAAATTCTATTGCCAAAAAAATACCAGAAGGCTGTATTTATGCTTAACCTCTTTTATTGTTTAAAAAGCTGTACACTTTTTAAAGGAATGTGCAGTTCATAAATAATAGAAAAATATTACAATCAAAATCTTGTCATTAGACATGAGGAACTACTGTAAAGCATTCAGTTAAAGAAAGCAAATGTGTGGTGTTCCTTAGGGACCAGAATGGGTCCTTAAAGATCACCAAAATGGACCGGATACTGTCATGTGGAGCCAAGTTAGAGCACTGAAGAGCTAAGGCATTTCTCTATTACCGTGCACGTTTTTTTACTGTATATTTCATAAGGCGTTGCAGGGGTGGGCAGCTCACAGGCCCACAGCGGGAGGGTGCCAGAATCACAGGGACGAGCGCGGGTGTGACGCCGGGAAGCGCCCCCAGGGCCTGCGGGAGGCGGCGCGCTGCCTCTCCACAGGCAGAACACCTCCGTCCTGGCTCCCACGGCCCAGACGCTCCCTGACGCGCCCCGTTTCAGTTGGCTGTTTTCAGGGGGCTCTTCCTCAGTGACCTCCTGCTGGGGGCGAGGCTGTCTTTGCTTCTGGCTGGAGACTTCACGTTCCACGGCTGAGGCTGCGGAGGCCTAGGGAAGGAAGAGACCACGGTCGTTCTGGAACTAAGAAAAAGCTGACAACACCTACCACAAAAGGAACTCTTGGTAGCTTACGGTTTATCAGGCAACGATAAACATAAAATGTCATTTCCTTGATCCTGGGCTCCAGTTTTCTCTGAAAGGGAGTCAAACAGACAAAATCAGACCTCCCAGGACTCCAGAGTGGCTAACGGGTGTTTGCCAGGAAGGGAACTTGCCTTTGACTGGAAAAGGAGTGCGAGGCGTGCCGATGTAGCTGACTCCTGCTTCAAATGTGACCTCGGCGATGGGCTCTGGGCAGGGGAAGATGGCAGGGTTAGCGGAGGGCTGGGAAGGGACCTGAGTCCAGAGAATTCCGAAGGGAGGTGACTCAGAGTTTCCACTGTGCTCTCGCTTGGTCTTATACAGAGGCAGCCTCCGGTCAGCCAGGCCTCACTTGACCTTTTTGTAGGATGACGTGACAGTGCTGAAGAGGCCGCCTTCCTGACCTCCCTTCTCTGACACTCCCCTGCTTACACCGTGCGAGGGGTGCCTGCGCACCGCTGCGCCCCATCTCTGGCTTCTCCCCACGCCCCAGCTGCAGTCACTGCCCACAGGCCAGGAGCCCAGCTCCACATCAGACTCCCCTCAGTCCCGCAGCGCCTGTCACCCCTGCCCTGAATGCCTGAGGGTGCGACACTGCGCCAACTCCATCTGGTCCCTGCGCCCCTGCAGTCACCCCAGTCACCGCTGGAAGCCCCCTCTGCTTCCTCACCGGGGGGCTTCGCTAGGCTCACCCTTGATCCATCACAGGGGGCACCTGCTTGCGGCCTCCTTTTCTTCCAGTTCACCCTCAGGAGCCAGAAGAGCTGGTGTAGAGCAGACTCTGAACCCAACCCAGGGTTTGGGTTCTGGTTCTGTCTTACTGGTTGTGGGAACTACTCTAAGGACCTCGAGTCCCTTTACCTTTGAAATGGGATACAAATGTGCTAACCTCCGGGCAGGCATCACTGTGAGATGACATCATTCACGCTAAGTCTTTCACACACTGGTGCAAGCTAAGTGCTAAAGACAGGTGAGCAGCTATTGTGACTGAGGAGGTATTATCCCCCATGTCATTTAGAGGTAAACTGGTTTCAAGATCTGGTAAGGTAACTGTCCTGCCGAAGTCCCCTGCTGGCTCAGGGTATGCTGTCTGAGCTGGACACCCAGCCACCCTCACAGCCCAGTGCACACACAAGCCGCAGGCTGCTGGCCTCTGGTTCTCAGCATTCTCCAAGCAGGTACCGGTGGGCACACCTGTTCTATACGGGCCATTCTGCCTGGAGGGCTCTCCTGAGCCTGCTACATCATGCCTCCCCTTCTTTGAGACCGGGTGGTGTCGCTTCTCCCAGTGCCTTCCTCCTCCTCTGTGCTCTGGACCGCTTTGCAGGAGCTGCTATCACACCAGTCAGCACTGAGCCTGTGCAAGCAGCTGACTGTCCTGGCAGAGCCTGCTGTGCCCACTGCAAGAACCCCTCTGCAGTGACCTGCACAGTCCAGACGTCCCCCTCACACTGTGCCCTTCCTAGAAGCACCGGGGAGACCTTTCCGGTCTGTGTCCTCAAGTGCAGCGGCGCGCCCGCAGGGCCCTGTGCCTGAGCTACGGGAGCGTGCCAGCAGACGCTGCAGAACTGTGCGCTCGGCACCACCATTCAGACAGCTCCACTTGGCCTACTCCTCTTTCTGGGAGGCCTCCCCAGGAGGGACTTCAATTGGAGAACTCCCCAGTTGAAGTTCCCCTTTCTCTTCTAGCTTGACAGCCTGTGGATGTCCAGGCAATGAGTCTCTGACCTTCACAAAAGCACTGATGCAGTAGCTCTTAAGAGTCATTGCCCCGTGTGCTCGTAGACCCTTAGAATCACAGGCAGAAGCATCTTTGCTGCCCAAGTTACAGCAGGAAGAAGGACTCACCAAATCACCCCTCAGATTTGTTAAAATCTAGCTCTGAAAAGTACTTATTTCCACTTAGCAAAACTCTTTATTCCTGCCAAGTGCCACTGGTGGGCCAGAGTGGGGGAGCCGGGCGGCATTTTGCCTATTGGTTTTGTAGAGATGAACCACCTCCTGACAGTTACCCTGCCTAGGCTGTCAGCAGAACGCACAGGTACAAACTACAGAGGAAACGCAACCGAGGGCTTTCGAATCAGTAATCCTCCCAGGCACCTCTCGCAGATGCGGAGGCCACAGGGCAGTGAGGGGAAGCCAGCTTGCCCACCCACACCCCGCCCCCGGCCACTTACTGTCGGGGGTGCTGATGGCTCTTCTGGCCACAGGGTCCACCCCTCCACTGGACTCCTGCTCCAAGCTACATGAAGAGGCTGCAACAAGATGAGAAAGTTTTATCTGCTCAAAAACCCGACACAATATCAAAGAGCAAAACAACTAAATGAGAAACAACATTTGGAAGACACACGATAGGGTTGATATCCCATATAAAGTGTTCTTATAAAGAGGTGGTTCAGAAAGATACAAAAAATGGAAAAAATGAGAGGCAATGCCCAATCTCACTAGAATGCAAAGAAATGGAAGTTAAAACCATAACCATTTTTGGCCTATAAAGCTCAACAGAGAAAGTGGGAAGTCAGAGCCAGTGTTTCGAAGTAGGACAGCGGCACTCCTGGGCCATGGTGGGAGGGCAACGCGGAGTGAATTCTAGGACATTCGCGGAGTGCGGGGGCTAATGCTGAAGATCACATGTGCATAAGGGTATGTGTGCGAGGTTGCTTACTGTGACCTTACTTCAAAATGTGGAAGAACACCCACACTTCCCAGGACCGGGCAGCCAGACACAGCAGGCACTTTGCGGGCACAAGGCCACACGACCACCAGAAGATGAGTTTCGAAAGAAAGGCTCGTGGGAAACTTCACTCGACTATTAGAAGTGTGTGCAGGAGAGCAGGTTATCAGAATGCACACCAAGACCACAGTTTTATAAGTAAAACCAAACACGTGTGTGAAGAGTAGAATAGAAGGAAAAAATAACACACTAGCATGGGTGAGTTTTCTATCTCACAATCTCTTCTAAATCTTTTATCGCAAACATGCATTGTTTTAACCTGTAATGCTAAGCCCCCAAAGTTTTTTGTTTTGAAGACAGTAAAACAGAAACTATTGTAAAAGGAAGGAGGAGGCTTGTTCTCTGTCTGCATCCGAAGTCACCGTGAGGGAGCCGGGAAGCGGAGGTGCTCGGGGAGACTCACCCCGACGCCGGGTTCCGTCCAGGCTGTCGGGGTTCAGCGTGAAAGGCAGCACGCCTACGCTCCGATGGCCGCGCCGGCGGTTCGATTCCACGGCTTTCTTGACCGAGTTCAGGATTGCAATGGTGCTCAGAGACATGGACCTGCAGGGAACACGCCCCAGGCGTGCAGAAAGCACGTCAGTGAAAACACGGAACCCGCTACCCGCTTTCCTTCTAGTGCGCCCCCAGCCACACTCATTTCAAACGTGAAAGAGCCGGGAGTGAAGCATCGGTGCAAACACAAGGGCCACACGCACAGCGGGAACGGCATGCCAGCGGATCCCGGGGCTGCATACCTGGCTCTGGGCATCAACCTCTTCACCTGCCCGGTCTCGGGTGAGATGGGTGGGAGCGGGGCCTGGCCAGGGCCTGACTTGTGAGCTGCAGCCTGGCCCACACCGTGGGGCCCAGGGCCATTCTGCTGGCCATCGGGAGCTGGCATTATTTCTAAACTTGGTGCGACCTGTTGGAGAAGATAAGGAGCGTTCACCGCCGACCCCTGACGTGCTGGGAGCAAGCCCGCAGGTCCCTACCTCACGGCCCGCCAGCCGGGTGAGCAGGGCCTTCTCTTCAGAAACGGCGCTGCTGGCAGACACCACACACAGGTGTTGTCGTGTCAGAGAACAAGGAGAACGTCAGTCTGTCTGCACCATTTTAAAAACCATTGAAAAAGCTTTAATTTATTTTTTAGCGAGGGGAAGGGAGGGAGAAAAAGAGGGAGAGATACATCACTGTGTGGTTGCCTCTCGCTCACCCCTAAATGGGGACCTGGCCCGCAACCCAGGCATGAGCCCCGAGAGGGAATCGAACTGGCAACCTTTCAGTTCTCAGGCCAGCGCTCAATCCACTGAGCCGCACCAGCCAGGTGTGTTCAACGTTTTTAAGGCAACAGATCTGTCTGGACTTCTCAGGGAAGTAACCACTCTCTAGAAACACCCCTGGCTACAGACTATTCTCAACAGGGGATGCGGGGAGGACAGGCCAGCAGAACAAGCAGCCTCAGAAGGTCCAGTTACCCACAGTTCACTCTGATTAAAGGTCGGATGAGACTGCTGCCAGCCTGCTTCCTGGGCATTCACACGTCTCCCCAATCTTACCACAATGGCTCTGCACACAGGCTCCAGGCACAGGGCCTTGGGACGGGGCACCTCCTCGACTCAGCTTCCTGCCCACCCCACGTAACAAACACTGGGCCACAAGCAGCACTCCTGAAGCCTAGCTCAGACGGACCCCTGCACCTCTGCACAGCAGAGAGAAGGGGAGGAGGGTCGGACCTACGGGCTGCCCATGTACCTGCACGCCTGGGGTCCCTGCAGCGCCTTCCGCCGCCCTGTCCCCTTCTGCCTGTCTTGCCAGCTCTTGCTCCTGGGCCAGCTGTTCGCTGTACTTCTTCATGTCGTACTCGAGTTCTGACGCTAGCTGCTTGTCGACTGCAAAGAAATCGTTGATCTCATCCCGATAATCCTGCATCACCTCCTGGAACAGACAGAGGCATCCTTTAATGCTTTCTTAAATAAATGTGCTCTCCAACATGACTTAATAAATCATAACAGGAAAAGTAAGACTTATTTTTGCTAAGAGTGGACTATTTCTATTACATCAACCATGTTAATTAACACAACGGTATTTTCCCAGGAAACATCACCTGCGCTTGACCACACGAGCAAGAGAGTATGATGTGAGAAAATAACTGAGAGTTCCAATCTCTTAGGAAACTTACTGCCTAGGTGCCAGTCACCAGGTAATTTCCCAGGTTCTGGATGGCAGGAATCACACAAACTTAGCCTAAAGCAGAACTTTAACAAGGCACAGAACCGCCACCACCAGCTACCCCTTTCTGTTCCTGAAGGTTGGCGGGGGACGGTGAGGTATCTGTCTGGTCTGGCTTGGCCCTGGGTCACCACCCACTCAGAGGACCCTGCAGCATGGTTCAAGTCAGGGACAGGTGGGGTGGTGACGCGTGGCCTGTCCTGGCTTAGACGGGGCCTCTGGGGCCCAGTATGGGAAGCAGCGAGCTCCAGAGCCACTCTTCTGCCCACACCCACTTCCTCAGGGACAGTGGCTCTGGAGCCCCAGCCCCCCCTTGCCCCGGGGGCCTCTTCTGCAGGTTCGGAGGAAAGCCTTTTTTCTTCCTGTCAGGGCAAGAACAGGCTCAGGTCTTAATAGGCTGCTAGGGACCAGGCCTCCTTGCCAGGAGAAAGAAACCATGTCACCTAACAGTATCAGAGGGGGAACAAGATACATCGTGGCCCCAACTAGGCCCAGCAAAGGGCAGGGAGTGAGCCAACTGTCCAGCTGCCACCAAGAGCGGTTCCAGAGGTCGAAGGAGAAGTGCCGCAGCCCCTTCCACTGCAGGCTCCAAGTGCGGCTGTGCGCTGCCCCCCCCCCAGGGGGGGGCGCCTCGTCATGAACGAGAGACAGACTTACTGCTCTTGAGTGTTCAAGCAAGTAGTCGATTTAGGATGAAAGCTCTTGTTTCTTCCTTTTATGAGATTTAATACAGAGCGATAAAAATAAAAGAACAACTAGAAATTCTCATTTTTCCAGACAATGTGCCCATCTTTCCCACATTAAATTCCTTAGTATAAGAGCTATTTGAAAAATTATAGTCAATGTAATTTTGTGGTAGCTGTTTTTGAAAAAAAAACTCTTGGCGTTTTTTGAGGAGGGAACAGCACAGTGCAGACAGAAAAAGGAAGAAAAGTGCTGCATTTGTTTCTGAAGAAAGACTCGGACAGAAAGGCCCGAGGCCTCATCCGAATGCCACCAAGCGCGTGCTCCCCCTGGCGGCTCAGGGGGCAGCTCGGCGGGGCCGGCGAGGGCAGCCTGGCCTCCGGTGGGCATTCCCTGGCAGACGCTGCAATTGGGCAGGAGCGTCCTGATTTGTGAATCAGAGACTGTGTTAAAGGAAATACTGCCCAAGTCGACATGAGGCCCAAGGTCACTTTATCCCTCACCAGAGTGAACTAAGGTGATGACTTTGCCTTTGACCCCCATTGAGAAAGTCTTCAAAACGGAATCTAAATGGTTGGTCAAGGCCACACGTGCTTGGCAAGGGGTCAGCCCTTCACACACTCAACTGCTCAAGAAAAGCAGCAGCTTCTGTGCAACCTCTGGCCGACCCCTTCACTGTCTCCCCTGCAGCCGAAGGCCCGCCTGGCTGGTTGAGGTCTAAAACGATGCGACTCTGGCTCAGAGGCCCGTGAAGTTCCAGTCACCAGACAGCGGCCCCCTCCTAAGGAGCGGCCCCCTCCCAGCCAGAGTGATGACCTGGGGGCGGGGCCCCCAACCACAAAGCAGGAGGCAGCCCTTTACCCTGAGATAGTGCATGAGCTCCCGCAGAGCTGGGATCTTCTTCTTCTCCAGCATGGTCTTCAGGGAAATGATGATTGGAATGATGTTCTCTATGAAATTCCTCTTCTGAACCTGCAGTAGCACAAAGGCACGTACGTGTTAGATGCATCAGGTTCGGAGGACAGAGACTCTCCCGGATCCAGTTCTTTTCTCTAGCAGATCTGATGTGCTGTATCAGTTTGCTTTTGATTTTTGATTGTGGTAATTGTGAAGCACACATCACCTTTGTGCTGCAGACTTTATAAGCATTACCTCAAAACATGAGGAGCGCTCTGTAAAGCAGGACACGAATAAACACTATTCTTATTTTCTAGAGGACAACAAGGAATTCGGAACACGTTGAGTAACCTGACGGGAGGCTCCGAGCGCCCAGGCAAGCCCATCACAGATCCTTGCCTCCACACCGAGCTCCCCCCCAAACACCCTCCCTGTGCAGTGAAAATGAGGGCAGCAGGAGCTGTCCTGAGAGACACCTTTACTCCCCTTGGTGCAACCACAACGGAAGCAGAAGGCGAAGCTGGAAGTCGGTCAGCTCTGCACCTCTCCCTGCCTCGTGTGACTTGGTGTGCACTTGGGAAAGTACCAGGGGTCACCCAGTCCACAACTTGACCAGGCCTTCATGCTCTTTACCGTGAATGGTCACTAACCAGAAACACTTTGCAGTAAGTCTCTTGGAACTAAAAATAATTCATTATAATAGCACACGTGCAAGATTGGTCATTTTCAATCCAAAAAGCATTCTTTTTCTTATTTAAAGTCATGAATGTCTGTTTCTTGCTTGTAAATCATCATTTCTGAAAGGTCTTACTGAAGTTTCTGAAAAAGGAGGGCACAGTAGAGAAGCAGACAACTTAGTAAATAGTGTCCAGGCACATGGTACATATGGTGGCCTAAACGCATTCTCTGAGCAAATGTCACCAAACACCTTCTGTGCACCAGACACACAGCTAACCTCCGGGATACAGAGAGGAATCCTGCCTTCGAGTGACTTCTAGACCAGACGAGAAGTCTGCGTTTTGATGTGTGCCACACTGTGGCGAGCAGCAGGGTATTAAGGAACTTGTGGAAGAGGATGCTTAGGAAGGAAGGGGTGAACAGGAGTATAGATCGGGGGAGGCTTCTTTGAAAAGATGGTCCTTAGGGTGCATAGGAATCAGGCTGCAGAAAAGGGAAGCCAGGTGGGAGCGGGCTCTGCAGGCAGAGGCAGCTGCTTGCCAGCGCCCAGAGGCAGGACCGGTGATGCAGAGCATGGGTCTCAGAGCAGAAAGCAGCAGAGAGGGTGTGGGCGGCGCAGCAGACAGGGGAGTTCTGTGTGCCTTGAGGGGTCAGGATTTCATTCGGAAGATGACAGGAAACCACCAACCTACTTATTAAAAATATCATTAGTGGGGTATATCTTACATACAATAACATCTGCCCGTGTTAAGTGAACACTTCAGTGACCTAACAAAAATATGAAGGGGGAACAAAAAAGCTGCAGCATTTATTTATAAAACATTGTATATTTATTCTTACATGTTTAAACTTCAGTCACCTTCAGAGTACTCTCCATTGGATGCAATACACCTATCTAGAAGTTTTTTCCACTGTTCAAAACAGTTTTTGAACTCATCAATTTTGATGCCTTTTCCTGCTTCTGCTGTTTTTTGTTTCACCTTTTCCAACCAGCAAAAGTCCCCTGGTAAGGCCTTTTCTCATGCACGGAAACCAAAGAAGTTGCTTGTGATCAGGTGAATAGGAGGGTGGGGCACGGGGGCCATGCCGTTTCTGGTCAAACAGTGCTGAACATTCAGTGCAGAGCGGGCAAGTGCGCTCACAAATCACCCATCATGAAATGGGCAAACACACTGAAAGAGTCTTAAAAAAAAAATTCACTGAAGCAGAACACAGCCTCTCACAACACCACCAGCTCGTACAGATACAGATGGGTTCGTAGAACACTCACCTAGCAGGGGAAGCCTGCGTTACAAGGGTCCCACCCTCCCGAAGATAGTTCCATTTTCTTTGGGTCCCCCCACATATACTGAGTAACCTAGTGCACAATCTAGATTATCACCCACAATCCATCACCCCAAAAGTTCCCTGCTGCCCCCTGCTGTCAGTCTGCCTTTAGCCTCTTTTAAGCAGGAGGTCAAAGTGGTCAAATCTGTACTGCAGAAAGATGACTCGGGCAGCAAGGGGCGCACAGCCTGGAACAGAAGGAAACTAGAGGCACAGAGGGTGCTGAGGAGACCCCCGAGACGGCACAGGCCGACATAAACTCAGAGCCAGGGAAAGCGGAAGACAGAGATGGATTGGTAAGCTCAAATGGACCCAGAGAGTGGGATCAGTCTGTTTCTTTGGGTTCTGAGGTCTTCGGGGCTCAGGCGGGAAATGGGGGTAGCAGTCCGGGTGAGGTATGAGAGACTGAGGCTGGACAGCACGACGGCAACCAGCTGCCCCAGGCAGGGACGCAAATCCCAATTTTTACGCTTGCTGGCTGAAGGACACGTGCCTGGCCCCTCCCCCACACAGAAGACTGTGGGGAATCGGGAGGGACAGGAGGAAGAAGGGGTAAGCAGTTCAGTTTGGACAGAGGTGTCCGGTAGCGAACAGGCAGGTGAGCGGAACAGGTTCGCTCATGCGAGGCTGTCACTGGAAACACAGATGGAGAATGATCGCCACCCAGGTGAACTACGGCCACTGCTGAGAGCGGTGTCAGCCTCCTGGCAAGACCACCCGTATTTTGGCGTGTGACCGGGCCCACTCAGAGCACGCACTCACCTGGGAGATGAGCTTCTTCTGGGCCTCCTCCATGACCACGTTCGCCAGGGCCATGTCATCTTCTTCCATCAGGAGGTCCTTATCTGGTTTTGATCTCATGGCCAAAAGCTTGATTTCCTTGGAGCTGAGGACCTCGAAGGTATCTGAGAGTAAGTCACTGGCTTCCAGGTCCAGGGGCAGGACGCCATCGGCGAAGCACGCTGAGAGAGCGCAAAAGAGGGGCTGCTGAGAACCAGAGGGGTCCCAGAGGGTGGGCCCCACAGAGCTAGGCGCGCACGTCTGGGCTGCAGGGGTCTGTGGGGCAGGGGTGGTGTCCGAGCAGGCCCCCGAGCGGGCTCCCTGCAGGACCAGACCTGTCAGACCGTGAGCAACACAGACATTTCGCCCCAAACGCAGCATGCCTACCCAAAATGCTAAGGCAGATTTTGGAAGTGATATTGAATCGCTGTTCATCTGTGAAGTGCTCTAGAAGAAACTTGTAGATTTTCATCCGTTTTTCCTTGTTTGTCTTTCCCTTCAGTGAAAAAAGCCGCTTCTCTCTGGCAAAACAAGACCGTTTCAGCTCGTCACATGGGCAAAGATGACTGGGACTTGAACAGTGTTTCACAGCGCCCCCCCCCCCATTTCCCCCCAGGTGACAAGCACTTCCCCAGGACTATGAGCTGCGGAGAGGAGCACAGAGCCCACCCGGAGTCCCAAGTCACAGGGCCAGGGGCCAGGCCCCCTGCTTGCTGCTGGGCTCCCTGCTCCCCCCGCCCCCAGGGCCCTCACTGACCTCTCTGACTGGGGGAACTTGTTGTACTTCTCATGCTTCTCGTAGTTATTGAAGTGGAAAATGCACTCAATGAAGTGTTGGAAGAACATGACAGGGTTCCTCTTCAGTAACAGGTGAGCCAGGCAAAGCTCCCCGAAACTGCAAAAGAAAGAGACCATTGGCTATTTGCAGACAGGTGCTAAGCAACAAGAGCTCTGTGAAATAGCGGGGAACTGTGAGTTAGGGTGAGGGGTGCTAAACCTCTCCCAACATTCAGCTTCACTCAGGTCGAAAAGAAGACACAATGCAGCTCCGTCTGTCCATTCTTGTACAATAGCATCCTTTCTGAATCTGAGGTCAGCACAACGGCTTTCCCCTCGGCCAAGTTTCCTTCCCAAATCTAAAACGGTGGCACTACTCCGCGACACTTCAAACGGGAAAACAACTGAGCTGCCCCCAACCACTCTCGAAGCAGCGGCTGTGGTCCTGCAGGCTGATGCAACAAGTACAACCAGCCGAAAGGGACGCCTGGGCTTCGACCTCTGGCCTTCGACCTCTGGCCTGTCGTCTGCTGCCCACAGCAGGAAACGAAAAGCAACCTTAGTACCAGGAACTTTTTCAAGAACCATGACTGATTACAAGAGTTTCATAGTTTGGGTCAAAATGGCAAGCACCCTCCTCAGCCAGCCTCGGGCTCTCATTCCTCCCGTGTACCTGACCCACAAGAGGCATCTAGCACGCATCCGCAACACTACACAGGCGGCCCTGATGTCGCCAGCACTGCACCAACCTGAAGGGCCGATGCCATGGTTTCCCAGCCCCAAGGAACACAACGGAGGCCAGACTGTTCACCCTCAGGGTCCCTGACAGCTTCTGTGTCGTCGGCACGGTCGGCGAGACGGCGCCGGGACCCGGCCTGCAGGTGCAGGTGCCTGGGTCCACTCACACTGCCCACAGCAGTGTTTTCACTGCACTTCACAGCTACGTGCAATTTCCACCTGCACAGGCGCACCAGGCAGCCCCCACAGGACAGGTGTGGGGACAAGGACGGGCCCAGCGTTCTGTCCCCTGCTGCTGAGCCCATTACGGCCTGCAGGAGGCGCGTCAAACCCAGGCTTCTCCTCAGGCTCATTCACACCAGCACCCTCAGCACTGAAAGGTCATGGGGTGGTTCAGCAGTCACGATGTAGAAATGAGCTCGGGTGAAAATCCCGCTCTGAATCACGACACTCGGACTATGCGCTGAGGAAATAAGGGAGCAGCTTGACATAATCGTGAGAGCAAAACCCCATTGAATGGGGGCAGTCCCAGCAGAAAGGCACTCCCGGCCAGCGAGAAGTGCCGTTTGACCGACGGGTCCAGTACGCTCCGAATCCGCTCTGAAACAGCTGTTTCCTCGGAACCTGGGACAGAGAGGCAGAGGAGGTCACAGCCTCTGATGAAGTTCTTTTTAAACCAGGGTTACTTCAGTAAACCTTCTGTGACAAGAATGAAGAAAACCACTGAGTAAACAAAAGCAACCCCCAAAGAAACCCCAAGACTTCACCTTCTCTGGTATTTTATCACGGCCAACCTACCAGGGCAGAGCAGCTACCTGGGTTTTCTTCTCAGACATGAAGTCATTCATATGAAAGTGTAAAATCAGACAGAACCCAATAATTCTTCTGCAAGAGGGGCTGCTCTGGGCTTGAATCTGATGTCAAATGCTCACCTACTTAGATTTTGGATCAAGAACACATACAGGGTGAAGTAACCACTAAACAAGATACTTCAGTCTATTCCCTAGTGAATAAATAACAGGCTCACCAGCTACACAAATAAATTCAGTGTGACATAAATTACGCAGAGAAGGCCATCTGCTCAAGGCTGAGAGCAGGCTCAGAGCTTCTGCACCAGGCCCAGTCCAGCGCAGTGCGCAGCACGGCTAGCCCGCAGCGCCCTCTGCAGCTCTGATGGGGTGGGTGGAGGCTCGCAGACCCTCCTAGCTCAGTAAGTGCGCAGAGGAACTACTTTGTCAGCTGAAAGTTAGAAGAATTTAGCCCTCTCGGTAATGCCTCCTGGAGCATTCCATTGGGGTGGTGAGAGGTAGCACTTGTCAGGTGCCTGGGATAGAAAACTTCACCAGTTCTACAGAGGTCTCACTAAGTTAAGCACGCCCTGCTCCTTATCCCTGAGGACAATGAATACAAACCATACCTACTCACACCACCAATTCAGTGACAGTCTAGAGTTCACACAGCAAGCACTGCATTATGTGAAAACTAAAAGGAAAACCAGTTAAATCTGGTAATAATAATCTTGCGGAAACAAATGATCACTCTCTAACTAAGAATCTAAGCCCAGGTGTCCAACAGTCCTGTGAGGCACACAGGAAGAGCAGTCTGTTCACGCCCGTTTTCAGATTTAGTGGGAAACAAAGTCCCAACTCCCTTCAGAGGTCACCCCAAGCCAGATGCTGTTCGGAAGCAGATCTGCACGATGAAGGCTGCTGTTAATGGAGGCGCAGCCCTGATCCGGTCTCTCTCGGGTTAGAACTGGGGGCTCAGGCCCATTCCCACCAGAAGTCTATCTGAAACTTGAGGCAAGCTGCTTCCTGTCTCTGTGTCATCCCAGCTGCCGCCCAAACCCAGCCTGGCCCGGCCCGTGGCCCTGACCTCCGTCCCTCCCCCGTCTGTCACTGTGTGTTCCCTTCCTCCTGACCTCGCTCCCCAGGTCACTTTCCCCGAGCCCCTGTGCTCGGCAGGCCTGGTCCCACGAGGGGTCAGCCTCCAACCCGTCCAGGCTCCCTCCTCCTCGAGGACAGCCGTGGACACGGCCTCTCTGTGATCACGCGGGGGAAGCTGCCCTCCCCCCCCCAACCAGGGCATGGGGACCACGCTCCCCAAGGGCGTTTTCTGTTCACCAAATGGTCACTGAGTGTCTACTCCACCCCAAGCTCTTTCACGGGGCTGGGATATAGCATCCACAAAATCTCTGCCCCCGTCCCAGGCCCAGAAGCTCACATGCTAGTGGACAGACCGATGTACATATGGTACAAAAGATGTTGTCAAAAGTGCTCTGAGAAAAAGACAGTTGAGGGAGGATACACGGAATGGGTTAGGAAAAAACACGACTTCTTTACCTGGTTCATACAACACACGGCCTTTCTCTTGAAGCTCCTGCCACCTCTTTTGGCCTCTAATGCTTGGTAACTGCTTCCTAGTTTTCCCCATTCCAAATCCTAACCTCACTGCCGTGGTCTGAATGTTTGTGTCTTCTGCCCTAAATTCCTGTGCTGAAAACCTAACCCCCAAGGAAAGGGGGACTTTGGGGGTGATTAGGTCACGAGGACAGAGAGCCCTGGTGAATGGGATTAGTGCCTTGTAAGCAAAGCCCCGGGGGGATCTCGAGTCCCTTCCGCCATGAGAAGATACAAGGAGGAGTCTGTGGAGAGGGCCTTCACCAGAAAACCAGCCCCACTGGCCCCTGGATCTCAGGCTTCTGGCCTCCGGACTGTGAGAATAAATGTGTTGTTTGTAAAGCACCCGGCCTCCCAATCTCTGAGAGCACCTTTGACGCCCAGAGGAGTTCATCTCACCCCTGACTCTCCATCTTCTCAACTTCATCGACTCCAGTGACCCTCACATGTACACTGCTGTCACTCTGGAGACATGTCCTGGCCCTTGTCCCTGCACCTGGAACACCCCACTTCTGATGTCGAAGAATCCACTTCCTGACCACACCCCCTACCTACTCTTTGGCTCTGACCCCCTCATCCCCATTCCACTTGTTCTACAATGTCACTAGGCCCTGTAGATCCGCGACTACTTCCTTTTCTCCCAAATCATGCAATCCCTGTCTTTCCTTCTTTTCTATCTCAATGGTCCATTATTTTTGCCAGTTTTGAGGGGCGGGGGGGTTGCCTTGAACCTCTCTGGCTCCAGCCTTCTTATACTTCTGCAGCATTTATCCACTTAAATGGAAACAATCCACTGATTGTCTGGCTGTCACCCTGTGACTACCACAAAGTACTGTACTACAAAGCCACCACCTACCTATTGGGCAGAGGAGAAAATATATCACACTATTTTGTAGCCCCCCAAATTTGGTGTTCACTGCCATATGGCCAATTAAAAATAGCATACAAATTCGCTCACGCCAGAATCTTCAGGAAATTCAATTGGACCAAAAAGAAATTCAACAGCTCTGCCACTATGGTCTCTTTGGAAGACAGGTATTAGCAGGCACATGTGGAAGGAGTAATGTGTCTAACGTAAGCAGACAGGCCTGACCCTTGGCCTAAACACAGGGGAATGGACTAATTTAAATGACAGTTAGCAAAGATGAAAATCGTGGTCCACATTTGACCACAATTCAAGAAAACACAGAATCAGGTAACTGGGAAGATTTAAGGGGGAAATATGAAAACACTGTAAGAGGCACTGACAATCCTACTGGACAGTAAATGTACATCGGTCCCTCCAGTTCCGTTCTGATTCATGCTCTGATCACCTGAACAACTGTGTATGTTTTACACGCTAACCAGCGCTCTTTCTAACATGTGTGACCAGAGGCTGACAAACGTGGAAGAAACAGAAGAGCAAGATAAACAGCCAATCCACTTGCCAGGCTCATCACCTGAAAGCCCCCAGGCACTTCCGGCCATGCCTGCTCCTGGGTTCCGGTCGTGTGAAGAGCCAGGGGAGCCGGCCTCACGGCACAGGGCAAAGGTGAGAGGGCACGCACAGCTGTGCCAGCCTCTTTCCCAATTGCAGAAACAAAGCAAAAGTAATAGGCTGAGCTTTTTGCTTCTGACTCTAGAGAGCATTAATTAAAATGTTCACCTCTATTTATTATGTAAATAGTTTATTATATAAAATGTTCCTCCTTGGAAAATTATACCTAATGGAAACTGAACTCATAAATTCTTTCAGTGACACTTTAGAACCAGAAGGACCCACTATTATAAGCTATTTTATAGTTAATGAACTTTATGAAGAGCTTTTGCCAATTGTGGTAATTTTTGCCATGGCATTCAATATTCTATTTTCCAATTGCAGATTTTATTTATTTACTTTTAGAGAGAGTGGCAGGGAAGGAAAAAGAGAGGGAGAGAAATATCAATGTGTGAGAGATACAGTGATCAGATGCCTCTCACATGCCTCCAATGGGGACCTGGCCCACAACCCAGGCATGTGCCCTGACTGGGAATCGAACTGGTGACCTTTTGGTTCACAGGCCAACACTTAATCCACTGAGCCACACCTGCCAGAGCACAGATTTGCTTTAAAAAGAATAATTCATACAAGATAGTAATTTAGGTTAGCAAATCCTGTGAGATCATTTTCCAAACCTGGAAAATAAATCTTTAAAAAAATTATTGCATGACAGGAATTAAGTGACTAATCAATTCCCTTCCCTTCCAATTCTTAAGAAACAGCCACTTCCCAAGAGCCCTGTAATTTGAATAGTCTATTTCATACTGTGCAATTGTGTCTTAATTTCTAGAATTTCTTCTTAAAATTTCTGCACTTAAATTTTCAACTCTATCAAAACTCCCATTCTGCTGGCCTAGAAACCAGAAGCCAACGGTTGATGGCGGCTACTCTATAGTTGACCATGACAAAGGCACTTCTTTAGGAAGAGTAAACAAAGCCAGCAAATGTGGCCAATGCTGAAATTATTCAATGGTCAAGCTGAATGCATTTTTTTAACACTTGTATGCAAAATAAAGCTTTGTTAAAAGCTTAGTATTTTAAATATCTGCTAATTTTCTGGCAACTGCCAAAAGCTCGCTAAATGCTCAATAACTGAACTCTAAGCCAATTTTAAAGACAAGAGATCTACTGCAGACCAGAAGTTCGGCAGATCATTCAGCTGCAGGACATGTGAGGGAGAAAATTTACCTGGCAACGTCTGGGTGTGGGTCAATCAAAGTGCTGACGAATCGAAAGAACAGAGAGCCCTTCCATTTCACAAATTCTTCCTGTACCAAAAGAAATGACATGATTGAGGAGGGTTTCTCACACAGAAACAGTAGAAGTATTCACTCACAAAACCAACTGGGATCATCCTTTTGCTTAACCTCTCACCCGTCAGCCAGCTGAGTTGTCGGTGGCGCATTAGCAGTTTGTTAGCCCTCAATTCCCAACCGCCCCAAAGGCGCCTACCAGCCCTTAGTCATGACAGAAGTGGGGGATGTGGGGGCAGAACAACACCGGCTCTTCTGCTGTTTTAGGACCGTGACTCACTGCACACGCCTTTAGAAGGGCATGCCCCTGGTTTCTGCAGCAGGCACACGGTGTGTGAGAAGATGAGTACACGAGTACACAGAACATCCGAGAATAGATGCACATCTTAGTTAGATGTCCTCTTTTTAAAGATCAAATATCGTTTCCCCTCCTCGTAGGCATGACACGTGTTCTCGACATGGGTAAAAGTGTCTGATGCTCTGAAGAGCTTTGCAGCTCGGAGTCCTCTGACAACGACAGGTCTCGCTGGGTCCGCAGAGCTCTGCTATGCTTCTGTGAGGCAGCCAGGGAGACGCTGGGACCCTCGCTTTACAAATGAGGACATCACATCTGAAACACCACCCTGTGCAAAAGTCGAGAACAGCAGTTCCAGAACTGGAACGAGAACTACTCGTTCACTGAGTGTGATTTTCTCTGCAAGGCATTCACTTGCAAAATTGAAAATTTATGCCACTTGACAGGATATCTGAACGTATGTCCAAAACAAATTTCAGGAAATAACAATCTGCTTTGAAGGCTGTACAAGACATTAGAAGAGTGATTATTTTAAACCAAAGATGAGGCCTATTGTTTTTGGATTCTACTAGCAATCAGCACATTTCCTATGCTACTCAAATGTTCCCTTAAACCAGAAGCAAAGCTGGAGAGAATCAAAGGACAGATAGACAAGCCTCATTCCCATACGAACCTGCAAGAGATTGGTGAGCAAGATGAGCGTCTGCTTTCGGATGAACGGGTCTGGATCCTTCAGACACATGGAGATATTGGGGACGTACTTGTCCACCATGACAGTGTACCGGATGCAGAGGTCACACAGGACGATGACCACGTTGTTGCGAACGGCCATGTCTTCGCACACCTCCAGCTCCCTCACCAGGGCCGGGACGCTCTTCTTTGCCAGATCCTCGTGCTGTAAGCACAGCTTACCTGCCCAAGAAAAGAGGAAGCCATGGCTCTACTCTGTCCCAGCAGGCACAGGTGCCTGCACCTTCTCTGCAGATGTGCTGCTATGGATTTTATTTAATCAAGTTAAAATGCTTCAATAATCACAAAAGAAAAAAAAAAACAAGGGAAGGCAGACCCATATTAAATATTAGAAAATGCAAAATATCTTAAGAAAAAACACCTCTCCCAACCCTCCAGGATATATATTCCTTCTCTACAGTAAAAATATTTTCCTTTTAAAGTCAGCAGTTGAATTTTGGAGTTATCTACTTCCCTGGAAAATGACCAATAAAATTAACAATAAACGTGAAATTTGAGCTAGGTAATTAGAAAAGAATGATAGGTCATTTATTTTACCTCTTTTTCACAGGAGAAAGAAGGTTGTTTTTATTTGTGTGTGTGGTGGGGGGGCTTGTATATATGTGGTCTATGGAATGTTTTGCTCTTATTTACAATTCTTTGATATAAAAAAACCATTATTACAAAAACATTCATGACTGTTATCCAATATTAAATAATCACAATAGAGGCAAAAAGGATGAAATTATAAATAGAGGTTAGTGTCTTCAAGATTAACACCAATTTGAGTTCATGAAGAAATACACTTCTAACTCATCTACTGGTCTGGGAAGTACCCGGTAACTGTCTGTTGTAAACTGAACTCAGCACAGTACACGGCACACAGCACTCGATGAACAGACTTCATGGTGCTACGTTAGGAGTATAAAAAGATAAATCACAGGGACAGGAATAACTGTCCACAATTAACGTAGAAACAAAAGCTCTCTACAGGGAGTGTCCTGAGTCTGATGTCTCGGGCAGAGCTGGGTGCTCCTTTCAGAATTGCCTCAAAACTCCCAAGAGTTGGAGTACACGTGTGCTCAGCACTATGTAACCCATTACTGGCTCATTTAAGACAAAAAGCCGCCCAGGGAACTAGGCTGCACAAGTGATCCTCTGCCCACACACTATTCTTACTCACCAAGGGTAATGATGGCGTGCGCTCTAATCACAGAAGGCATGACAGAGCCTTTGAGCTGGGAGAGCGGCTGAGAGGCTGGGGCTTCGCTGCTGCCTTGAGAGGGGGCTACTACAGGGAAAGGAAGAAGGGCTTAGTAACAGGACTTCGGAGCTCCCCCAGACTCCAGACCACACCTGCAAAGGACGATGCTGAGTGCCTTACAATGATCCGCGTCAGCAGAAGAAGCCAGAATGGACTGGATCAGAAGGAAGGCTCGCTTCTCCACTCTGGCAGGACAGAGCTGGGCTATATCCCCTAAGGTAAAAATATACTTCACCTGCAAAGAAAATTGGTTTGCAGGAGAAATTAAGCAAAAGGAAAGTTAAGTCAAGCAAGACTAAGGACACATCAATGGAGTACTTTTTTTGTCCTCTGAGTTTAAAATAACTATTTTTCCCATAAAAATAGCCATTTAAAAAATTCAGTCACTACTTAACAAAATTCACCGAATACTAGGGTGACCAGATGATTATGTCGCCTACATCTAGACTCTTCTGCAAGTAAAAAGGGGTGCTGCTCACACTGATGCTGCGCTAGTGGGCGTCAGCCTGGACCGCCGTGGGCAGCCAGGAGCACCGAAGTCCGACTCACAGTTCCCCCACCCGAAGGCTGAATCTTATTTTTGTACACAACTTTCTTTTCAAAGTATGTTTAGTCACAAGGCTTTATGTTTGCTTTTTTAATACACTTACCAATTGTGCTATTTTGAAGTTTGCAATTACTACTCTCAATATTAGGCACCCCTTAGGGTCAATGCAGACAACAGCCACATTTAGTGACCACAGCAGTACGTTACAAACTACGCACGGCCTCGCAATTTGTCGCATCACTGCACTGGTAATAAACATGTGCGTCGTGTCTAATCCCTTGCCGTTGCTCGCGTCAGCGCTGATGAACACCTCTGAACTTTGCGAGGTCTACTCCCTTCAAAGTGACGTCCAGAGTCAAAGGGCACACGACCTGCTGTGCATTGTACGCTCATTTCCAAACTGTGTCCTCAGATTGGTTTACTATCTGAACTCCCACCCAGAACTCAGAAGTACTGCTCCCTCACAATCGCCACTGCTGTGTTCATCAGGGATATTCTGCTTAGCAGTCAAGTCATGCTGCTTTTAGTAATCCCCAAAAAGGCTGATGCTAAAGAGTAGAATGTTAGATAAAGGCTTATTTTAGATTAAGAAAGCCACTAAACAGTCTGTGTTTAAAAAATCCCAAACGTATTATACCTGTTAGTGAAATGAAGAAATATTTAAAGAAGAATGAACTGAACAATATATACAGGGTAAAACTTCTCTCTATATATTTTGACTAAAGGGTAGATTTTGGTGACATATTTAACAGTGAAAAAAAGCCGTAGGGGGAAATAATGCTGGTCAGAATAAGCATTTTTCTGCCCTGGCTGGTGTGGCTCAGTGGACTGAGCACTGGCCTTTGAATTGAAAGGTCATGGGTTTGATGCCTAGTCAGGGCATACGTCTGGGTTGCAGGCCAGGTCCCAGTTGAGGGCGTGTGAGAGGCAACGGATCAATGTATATCTCTCACATACCCATGTTTCTCTCCCTCTCCCTTCCCCCTCTGTCTTTAAAAAAGTACAGACATACAGACATACATAAGCATTTTCCTGAGTTTGGGCAGTGACTTACCAGACAAATTAGGAGGGCAAGACCCTCTAGAAACCCTGAGTCAGGACCATTCTACACATGGTCCTCCAACCTAAAATGTCCGAATTCTAACTGATAGAAGTATTTTTATCACAAAACTGTGCATGTTGATGCCTCAGACACAGGAGGCCTCCCCGTGTAACAAGTGTGAACATGGTCTTCCATCATGAGGTGCGCGTGCCAGGTGGCAGCACAGGAACTGGACCCGAGAGGGAGGGGCTCTGCTCTGCAAATGTTCAAACGGATGACGGAAGTAGCAAACTTGGGTTAAAGAATGGCCTCCACTGCCCTGGCTGGTGTGGCTCAGTGGATTGAGCACCGGCCTGTGAACCAAAGTATCACTGGTTCAATTCCCAGTCAGGGCACATGCTTGGGTTGTGGGCCAGGTCCCCAGATGGGGCATGCAAGAGGCAACCAATCGATGTTTCGCTCCCCTCTCCCTCCTTTCCCCTCTCTAAAAATGAATAAAATATTTTTTTAAAAAAGAATGGCCTCTACTGAAGGACATAACAACAACAAAAAGCGCATTATTTTCCTCACTGAACAAGTGTCAGATGCTGGAATTGGAATCCCACAACATATCGTTACTGACAGAGAGCCCCTCGCAGCAGACCACGGGCTCCGCACTCACTGGCTCTCAGGAGTCCCTGGCGCTGACCCAGTTCCTAAAGCAGGAACGTGCGTCGGACAACCCTGCTGCTCCAAAGTCGTCTGTGTTTTTGATTTCCGAATGCCTCATTTTACCTTAGACGTGACTTTAGAACCACTCAGCACTATTCCCTGGTTCCATAGTCTAATGTTCAAAAAGCCCAGCAGACAGATTATAAGTTTAAAATCAAACCAATGAAAAGAACAAAAAATATACGCTGTATTATTTTCTCACCTTACTATTTCTGAGCCCGACTCTGCCATGGGGACCTGACACTGTTTTCTCTGTTGGGTCAGGTAGTGAATGGGATTTAACTGCAGGAAGTGTGTACTGTCAATTTTTCCCGCAGATAACAAGTATGAGAGAAAAAATGGACAGGTTATCAATAAAAAACTCTCCTAAGAAAAGAGTAAGCTCTAGGCCAGGAAAACCCTTTTTTGCTAATAGTATTAGAAATATACACTACGAAGTCATCTTTAAAAACACCCCAACTGATATAAAGAAAAAACAATGGCTAAGAAAAGTAGTTAACTTACCAACAGGTCTTCATCCACATTCCCAGCACCATCTTCCTTCAGTACAATGTTGGAGAGGCAGTGCACACAGGTGGAGAGGACATCCCCGCACACCTGGTTCAGTAGCTCCTGTGGCAAGTCAAAGGTCAGCTCTGAAGGACCTCACACATCTAACAGATCCGGAGGATCTACTCTGGAAGCACAACTTTCTCAAGAAACTCTCTGATCTTCTAATGTATAAAACATGAGCCATGATGAAAACCCAGCCATCATGCTTCTGTGTCTTTACTCTTTTAGCAACCTGGCAATTTACAATTGCAAAGTAAAATGTACAAAAAAATGTATATATGTCTATATATTTTCTTTCAACATTTGCCCTGTAAGAGCAAAGGGTATATATCTGGGAAGATCTAGGGTCCTAATTTACAAGAGATCTATAATTGCAGTACTCCTCTAAAAATAAAAATATTGCAATTCTTCTAAACCATGTATATGGTGCGTTAACTATCGTAATAAATGGGCATAAAAAAGGAAGCTGTTATTCCTCTGAAATTTACTCATCAGAGACATTTTTCAGTGTCCCTTATTAGTTAAAGTGACTCCAGAGGGTGAGCACCTCTAGCCCACAATAACTAACTACATTAGATGGAAGGGAGCTTGATCACATTCTACAACATTCACCAGCTCTTTGACCACTTTCTCCAAGAGGCCGTTCCAAAACACCAGCTTGAGTTTAGTGGCTCCATCCCAGCACTTCCATGTTAACCAACACACCCTTCTACTTTAGGAATAATTATGTCACATCGAAACTAACCATTCGCTTATTAAACTCAGTCTCAATGATCATTCCAGGGCCTGGCAGCAAAACCACAAATGCTACTCAGTTTTTACCAAACTGCTGGCCAACCATCATTATGATCCAAATATGTTTTATTCCAATTACAGTTTACATTTAATATTATTTTGTATTAATTTCAGGTGTATCGCATAGTGGTTAGATAATTATATACTTTAACAAAATGTTTCTCCCCAATATTTCTAACATCCACTACATAGCTATTACAATATTACTGACTATATTCCCTATGCTGCCTTTAAATCTCTGTGACTATTTTGTAACTACCTTCTTAATCCTTTCACCTTTCCCCCCAGTCCCCAATCTCCCTCCCCTACAGTAATGACCAGTATCTACGAATCTTTGTTTGTTCGTTTTGTTCTTCAGACTCTACATGTAAGTGAAATGATACGGTATTTGTCTTTCTCTGACTTACTTCACTTAGCATAATACCCTCTGAACTCATTCACCCTGTCACAAATGGTAAGATTTCATTCTTTTCTTATGGCCAAGTAATACTCCACTGTATAAATGTACCACTGCTTTTCTATCTGCCTGCCTACTGACGGGCACTTGGGTTGCTTCCGTAGTTTGGCTACTGTAAATAATGTTGCAATGAACATATGAGTGAAACTATCATTTTGAATTAATTTTTGGTTTCTTTGGATATATACCAAAAATTGGAATGAATTTGAATTAAAAATTGGAGTTTCATTTTTAATTTTTTGAGAAACTTGTACCTGTCTGCATTCCCACCAGAATGCACAAGGATTCCCCTTTATCCACATCCTCGTCAACACTTGTTCATTGATTTACTACTGATGGCCATTCTGACAGGTGTCAAGTGATACCTCATTACAGTTTTAATTTGCATTTCTCTGGTGATTGGTGGCACTGAACATCCTTTCATGTCTACTGGCCATCTGTTATGTCCTCTTTGGAGAAGTATCCATTCAAGTCCTTTGCCCTTTTTAAATTGAATATTTTGCCCTGGCTGGTTTAGCTCAGTGGATTGAGCACGGGCCTGTGAAGCAAAGGGTCGCCAGTTCAATTCCTAGTCAGGGCACATGCCTGGGTTGCAGGCCAGGTCCCCAGTAGGGGACACATGAAAGGCAACCACACATTGATGTTTCTTTCCCACTCTTTCTCCTTCCCTTCCCCTCTCTCTAAACATAAGTAAATAAAATATTTTAAAAAATAAATTGAATATTTTTTTAATGTTGAGTTGTATGAGTTCTTTATAAATTTTGGACATTAACACCTTATCAGATGTATCATTAGTAAGTATCTCCTCCCATTTGGTAGGCTGTCTTTTGGTTTTGCTCATTTCCTTTGCTGTGCAAACCTTTTTAGTTTGATGTAGCCCCATTTGTTTATTTTTTCATTTCCCTTGCCTGAGGAGATACATTAGGAAAAAAAATTGCTAAGAGAGATTTTACTGTCTATTTTCTTCTAGGAGTCCTATGGTTTTGAATCTTACTTTAAGTCTTTAATCCCTTTCGAGTTTATTCTTATATATGGTGTAAGAAGGTGACCTTATTTAATTTTCTTTTTGCATGTTTGGTCCGGTTTCCCCAACAGCATTTATTGATAGGCTCTTGCTTCCTTTGTCCTGTACTAACCATATAGGTATGAGTCTACTTTATGGGCTGTTTTGTTCCCATGATATATGTCTCGGTTTTTGTGCCAGTACCAGGCTATTTTGATCACAATGAACTTGTAGTATAGTTTTGATACCAGGTAGCATGATACCTACCTCCAACTTTATTCTTTCTCAAGATTGCTGTGGCTATTTGGGGTCTTTTGTGTTTCCCTGCAAATTTCTGGTGTATTTGTTTTGTGAAAATCACCACTGGTAATTTGATACAAATGACACTGAATCTGCAGATTGCTTTGGGTTGTATGGACGTTTTAACAATGTTAATTCTTCCTATTCGCAAACATGGTATGTGCTCCACTTCTATCATCTTCAATTTCTTTATTCAGTGCATTATACTTTTCTGAGTACAGGTCTTTTACCTCCTTGGTTAAGTTTATTCCTCGGTATTTATTTTTAATGCAATTGTAAATAGGATTGTTTTCTTAGTTTCCTATTATGGGAGCTTCCTTGTAGTTAATTCTCCCTCTTGCTGCTTTTAAGATTCTTCATTTGTCTTTAACCCTTGCCATTTTAATTATGGTGTGTCTTGGTGTGGGCCTCTTTTGATTCATCTTGTTTGGGACTCTCTGTGCTTCCTGGACTGTGCCTTTTTCCTTCACCAGGTTACGAAAGTTTTCAGCCATTTTTTCTTCAAATCATTTTGCAATTCTTTGCTCTCTCTCTTCTTCTGGCATCCACCTCCCCCCCATGATGTGAGTGTTGTTACGCTTTATTCTGTTCCTGAAACCATCATCAATTTTTAAAATTCTTTCTTTATGCTGCTCTTATTGAGTGTTTTCTTCTATCTTGCTTGCCAAATTGCTTATCAGATCCTCTCCTTCTAATTTGCTACTGATTCTTTCTAGTGTATTCTTTATTTCAAATATGTATTCTTCATTTTGGACTGGCTCTTTTCATGTTTTGTATGTCCTCTTTTTATGCTTCCTATCCCTAGGGGGAATATCATCTAAAAAGCATTCTTAAAATAAGGGTAGGTGTGAAGAGGGGGGCACGCAAAGCTGGCACAAGTGCCTGGCCCACAGCTTATTAAAAGACACCCTTGCAGAGCTTCCCACCCGGGGGTGACTTTCGAAGGGTATGTCTTTAGCAGCCAAATTCTTGGAAAATCCCAACTGCTTGTCATATTAAGTGTTTCCTTTTATTGTAGTAACAGCTGCTGGGGACCACCCATCCTCACAAGTTCTCTATAGAGAACCCTTCTCAAAATTCAAACCAGAGCACTATGTCTACTAAGTACGAATAATGACGAACATCCAGCAGAGTCTGCAGTGTACCTGTTCCTCCGCAGGTGTCTCTGCACATGCTCTACACAGTCTTTGCAAAGTATCGACAGCGGAGCTGATCAACTCTAGAGACCACTGGAATCCATTCAGCTTACACTTGACAACATCTAAAAGGGAAGTCAAAATCCTTTAAGTTTAACTGCTTCAAACAAATATACGTAAAGTGAGAGGCAATGCCTTTTCAAGATCCTCCAATAGACACTCACCAATCACCTTGTCCCGGGTGTTCTTTGGAAGATGCTTTGCAACATGCCCAATAACACACAGAATATGTCCTACGGTGTCCGAATTGGGATTCTGTTGACTAAGAAAAGGGCAGAAGAAATAATCATGTAGGAACGAAGTAAACATTATTGCTAGCAAAATACTTTTCTTCTGGATCATTAACACCAGGCTAGCATGTTTGGGATTCACGCTGTAAGAACATTAAGGCACTTAAAAAACTTGGACAAAGAGTAAACTGAAAACTTGGAAGTGATTTTTACTTTTCATATTTGTTTTTAAGTCTGAAGTTAAAGAAAAGATCTGTGTATACAAATACTTATAAAATAGCCCATTTCTTTCAGTCATGAGGTTTTTAAAAAACATTTTTTATTGTTATGCAAGTACTGTTTTCTGCCTCTGCCCCACCCCAGCCCTCCCCATCTCCCTCCCGTTTTCACCACCCCCCAAAGGCATGAACTTTATTTCCAAAAATCTTTCTTTGGAAAGAATCTGTGCCCATCAGGAGCTCAACTGCAAGCATGCAGACCTGCAGATTCTCTCCCAGGACTCCATGACTTTGGTGTAGTCCAGCTTGGGGGACGTGCAGGCGATCTTGGACAGCAGCATCCAGGCTGGTGCAGAATGTTCCGTGCCAGTGTGGGATATCACATTATTTATAAAAGTAGACGAGAATTTATCTTTCTTGGACCAGATAAAAAAAGCCTTGTTTAAATAGCGGCTGGAAAAGAGATGAGAAAGCAGAACTGTAACTATAAATGCACAAAACTGTTGAGAGTGGCCCCGCTGGTGAAAAGGGGCATTAAGTTCTGCTGCTCCAGGCTCCTCTGGCAGGTGACTCACCCAAGGAGGTTCCCAGTGAGCACATTCGATACCAGACTAGGTGTGGTTTCAACTTTTATTACGCACAATAAGGTATATTTACATAAAGTACTCACTTTAAAGCAAATAATAAAATTTTGTAATTCATTTGAGAACCTTCTCATCCTCATCCCCTCCAAAAACTTATATACAAACATATGGGTCATGTTACCAAAACAAATACATCCAGAATTTATAAAGTTTTAGTGACAAAAAGTCTATGTAGACACTGTTCTTTTTCTCAATGAAGGATTGGTGAGAAATGACATCCTAACATTTAAACACAGTGATTTTTTAAAAAAGATTTTATTTATTTATCTTTAGAGGGGAAGGGAAGGAGAGAGGGAGAGAAACATCAATGTATGGTTGCCTCCCATGCGTCCCCTGCTGGGAACTGGCCTGCAACCCAGGCATGTGCCCTGACTGGGAAGCAAACTGCAGTTATTTGGTTTGAAGGCCCGTGTTCAATCCACTGAGCTACACCAGCCAGGGCTAAACACAGTGATATTAATGAGCTGAAATTTGTTACGACCTGCCAATACTACTCAGAAATACATTTTTCCCAAACCATTTAACATTAAAACAAAAAATGCTTGTAATGTAGTAAAGTTTGTGTATGTCATTCTTGCTTTAAATCAAATATTTTCCTTCTTTTCATAGCACTGAATGAGATCTTAGGCCTCATGAGAGAAATGCAATATTACATATTAAAGAGAAAAAAACACTCCTTCCCACAATTAATTTTTCTTAGGCTGCTAGGAAAACACACACACACACACACACAAAGTAATAAGACTTTCTCATTAAATGAAGAAACAAAAATTTCTCTAAGTTTACAAAAGGCAACTGTAACAAAACAAGCACACCTACTCATAATAAGTTTATACATATTAAGAAATGGCTTTATCAATATACCAGCTATTCATTAAAAACCTATCCATATAGATCTAGAGTTTTACTGAAGATACTGTACAACATGTAATTTTTATCTGATGGCTGTCCAAAACCAAGATATGTGCAATTAACAATATTTTAAAATTTATTAATAAGAATGACAAACAAAATACATGATGTTTGCTATAGGAAGCCAACGGCATGGGAAAACAGTTTCTCCAAATTTCAAATTTGGCTCCTCTCTAACAAGTCGCTCCTCCGCATCAACCGAGCAGCCCCCAGGAAGTCCTCCCAATTTGCCCCTCAGTCAACTCCACAGCTGATTACAAGCTATTCCCAAAGGAGTCAGAAAATGATTCAACAAACAGTGACCTAGTTCTCTTGAAAAGCGCTGCTGACCTCTGTCCTGTTTCCAAACCAACGGGCACTCTTCAGTCCCCGTTTTACGTGACCCCTACTGGACCAGGACTGGCCACTCTTTTTGCCTCTTCTTTTCCCTTCACAAATTCCTTTTCTTCTAATCACTTTAACTGCAGATTTTGAAAAGCTCTATTCTAATCCTCTTATCTACAGTCTAACTCCTTCATTACCAAGAGGTCTTCATTCGGACCTGTGACAAAGCATTGTAAACACACATTTATAACCTCGTTTATAACGGGACTTCCAACTCCAGTCCTCCCCAACCTCGCTCCTCCAATGCACCCCGCCTCCGCTTTCCACATTTCCATCAATGGCAACCCCACTGAGCAGTCATTCTGGTGAGAATTCTCGGAGCCGTCAGGCCTCTAAGCCTTTGCTCTACTACTTTCTGCCTGGAAAACCTCGCTATGGGGGCTGCCTGGTTGATTTCTATTTATTCCACCCCTGGAATTTATACTTATTCACCTCATGCCACCATCTCCAGGTTGCCATCCTACGCTAAGAAAATAAAATGAAACAAAAAATCTGTTCCTGTAACTTGCTGTCTACAAAAATTGTTTTGTTTTATTTCGTTTCTTTCTACTGGACTGAGAGACTTGAGCAGAGCAAGTGCACCGATTTCCTTCAGCCTTCACCCCAAACCGTCACCAACTCCACACTCTCGCCTGTTACACAGCTCTGCATGTGGCCTGTTCTCTCCATTTCCACCATCGTCACCTTGATTCAGGCCCTCATCACCTAACTTAAATCGGTTTAATGGCAGCCTAGTTTCTCAGATGATGACCTCGTCATATCTTGGTCATCAAATACTAGTCCATGTACTAGACTTCCTCAGATAAAATCCTGTATTACTCCCCCACTTAAATTCGTCAGTGCCCTCTGAACCCCCTGCCCACCCTGTTTCCTATCTAAGGTCAAACTCCTTAACAAGCCATATTGCATCGCCTGGTACCTGGGCCCTGCTTGCCACTCCCGTTTCATTTTACGCACGGCCCAGCGAGCGCCATCGCGTTGGCCACACTGAAACCCTGTGGGTCCTCTTCAGTAGACACTACGTATGGCTTTGCACTGGCTCTTTCTTACCTTTGCCCCCTTATTAACCTCCAACATTCAACGTGAGGGTTGTCTCATTTGTGAAGTCTCTTTTCCTGAACATTTCTTGATAGTCTCATAATTTTGCTTATTAAAGAACTTATCATAAAACTTTGTTTATAAATATTAACAGAACTCTATTGCAGTAATCCTTACTATTCTCAATAATTCTATTTTCTTACTAATTTCCTAAATCAGTGGCACTCATACTTTTTCATCACAGCAACATTTAAATTCTTAAAAATTACCATCTACGTTGAAATGCTTTTGTTTGTGTTAGAAATTAAATTGCCATGCTACAAATTAAAACTCATAAATTTAAAAATATTGATCAATGTATCTAAAAATAACAATAAGCCAATTACATGTTAACATAAATAATGCATTATTTTACCCAAAAATTGACTTTCTCAAAAGAAAATAACTTGGTCAGAAGAATGGTATCGTTTTACACTTTTGTAAATCTCTCTGTGGTCTGACGTGAACAGAAAACAGATGGATTCTCACTTTTGCCTCTGCATTTAGTCTGTTCCAATACCATTACACGGCTTTTGGAAAACCACTGTGCTACTGTGAAAGAATAAAAGTGAAAAATGCATAGAATATCTTAGCATTATGATAAAAACCACATCGTAAGATATGGTGAGCTAGGAATTCAGCAGTTTGAGAACTAAAGACCTAGCTCACTTCCTACAGTGGCTATTCCAAAACTTCTTTAGACTTATGCTCCTAATTCTACTCCTTCCCTCCAAAATTTGGGCAAAAACATTTTCTTCTCAATTATGGTCAAATATATGTAACAGAATTTACCATTTTCACCATCTTTAAGTGTAGTTCAGTGGTTTAAGTACACCCGCATTGCTGTGCAAGCCTCTGTTGCTGGAACTTTTTTATCACCCCACACTGGAACTTCGCGTCCACCGTCGCTGACTCCCTGTGACCCGTCCACATCCTTGGTAAACCCACTGTACTTTCTGTCTCTATGAATTTTGACTGTTCTAAGTATCTCATGTAAGTGGAATCATACACTATTTGACCTTCTGTGTCTGGCTTTATCACTGAGGATGTTTTCAAGGTTCGTTTGTCTTGTAGCATGCATCAGAATTACTTTAGAAGGCTGCATAACATCTGATCGTCACACTTTACTTACTGCATTTATCAGTCAATGGGCATTTGCTCATTTCCACCTTCCGGCTACTGTGCCTACTGCTGCAATGACACTACTGTGCTGGGCATACTCTCTGACCACCACCTCACTGAGGGAGGCCAGAAAGCTCTAGTGCTCATACTATGTCCTCTGCGAATTTCTCTCTCCTCATTCTCTTTGTTTCCTTTCATTTCTCAAGTTCTTTCCTCCTGCTTTATCAAGTGCATTCTTTTTCAGAAACTTTAGCAACTATCTCTTTCATTCATCCTCAGTATCTCCTACCTACTGGTTCTCTTTCCTTCTCATTTCCAAATATAAAGAGGTGTTTTCCCCTACCTAAAAATAAAAAAAGAAAAGCTTGTGAAGGAAGCTAATATACAACTTAACTGCAGGCAAGTTAAAGACCTAACTGTAAAAGTGGGAAGAGACTGTCAAATTTCTAGGAGATTATATGGGAGAATATCTATAAGACCAAGAGGTAGGAAAAGATTTCCTTAAAAATACATTAACCATAGAGAAAACTACTGACAAACTGAACTCACCAAAAAATACCATTAAGAGAGTAAAAAAGGCAAATCATGGAGTGGGAGAAGGTATGTGCAATGTGTATAAAAATGATTTGTACATAGAATATATAATGAACACTTTCAGATGAACAAACACAAGAATGACAGCCAAATTAAAAAAAAAAGGGCAAGAGACCTAAGCAGGCAGTTCATAAAGATGAATATCTAAATACCAATCCATTTACAAAGAGGCTCGATCTCATTAGTTAGCATGGCTCTGTAAATTAAAACCACAATGAAACACTAGTATTCATCCACCAAAATGGCCTACTAGGAAATAATGATAACATGTAGTGCTGGCCAAGATATGCAGCAATTTAGCCCTGGCTGGTGTAGCTCAGTGGATTGAGTGCGGGCCTGCGAACCAGACAATCGCGGTTCAATTCCCAGTCAGGGCACATGCCTGGGTTGCAGACCAGTTCCCTGCAGGCCAGTTCCCAGCAGGGGACGCACAAAAGGCAACCGTACATTGATGTTTCTCTCCCTCTCTCCTTCCCTTCCCCTCTAAAGATAAATAAATGAAATATTTTTTAAAAAATTTAAAAAAAAAAAGATATGCAGCAATTGGAATTCTCATAACTACTGGAGCAAAATGTAAACTGGTACAACCACTCTGTAAAACTGTCTGGCAGCCTGTTGAAAATAAAGGAAATTATTCTCAACAACTGTTCCCAGGTGTTAACACCCAACAGATGTGCATGTGCCTGTGCAGCAAAAGTTACGTACAGGAACATTCACAGAGGCATTATAGACAATAATCAGAAACTTGATACAACCCAATTAGGTACCAACAGTAGGATGGATAAATAAACTGTGGTTTATTCATAAATGTCATATAGAGGAAGCAAGAAAAATGAATGAGCTATAGATACAATAACTTCAATGAATCTGCATTACACTGAGTGGAAGGAGTCAGATATACAAAGAATACATACCATATAATGCCACTTATATGAAGTCAAAGAACACAGAAAACTAACATACAGTATGAAAATCACAAAAGTGATTACCTCTGAGGAGGGAAAAACAGTGATCAGAAGGGAGTGTGAGCCCTGGCTGGTGTAGCTCAGTGGATTGAGCGCGGGCCTGTGAACCAGAGTATCGCAGTTCAATTCCCAGTCAGGGCACATGCATGGGTTGCAGGCCAGTTCCCGGCAGGGGATACATGAGAGGCAACCATACACTGATATTTCTCTCCCTATCTCCTTCCCTTCCCCTCTAAAGATATATAAATAATAAAATCTTTAAAAAGGAAGAAGAAGAAGGGAGTGTGAAGGTGCTTCTTGGGCCCAGCAATGTTCTCCTTAACCTGGATGGTGGTTGCATGTGTTTATTTTCTTTCTGATATTTGTTGACGTCACAGTTTATATGCTTTCCCCTGCATATTATGTTTCAATACAAAAGCTTTTTTCAAAGAAAAATAAATGAAGAAACCTCCCAACGATTCTCAGGAGCTGTAGCGGGCTTCTCCTGCTTTTTTTCACGTGTGTGGAGAGTGGCCCTGCCTCTTCTTACCCCAAAGCTTTACTATGTTAGGCATGTGCTCACTGTGCCCTGGGTGCTCACCACACACCAGCCAGTGGGGAAAGTCCTGCGGTGCTGAGTCGGCCAGCACAACGTCATGTTAGGAAAAGCTGGCCTTGTGAGAAGCAGGGAGTTATCCTTCAAAAATCACAGCATTGAGGAAAGCTCATATTAATATACCAGAGCCATCAGTGCTTTCTATTACATGTGTATAACGATAAAGATTTAAAACTGGACAACACTCAGAGAAAAGCAAAGGAAGTGATCAAAGGCTTCATAAAAAAGTCACCACAAAAATGCTAAGAGATTTGAATTAGGTCAAGAAAAACAGACCAAAACCGAGTTGTCAAATATACTAAGTAATTGAGAAAGCTACTTTTCCAAGATCGATACAGAACTTTAGTAATCAAAACCCTATGAGCCTTCTACAAGGAAAACAAGTCAAAAGTAACATACCTCAATTCCTGGCTTTCTGTGCTAAGGAGACCGAGCAGTGCCCAAGCCAACACTTGGCCGTCATCTCCACTATGGAACTTACTGAAGTGCTTAACGTTCTGCAACAGGAGCTGGTCCAGGCACTCCAGGGCCTTCTCCTGCACGGTGCTCTCACAGTCCATCACCACCGGCACGGCCCCCCGCAGCCAGGCTTTCTGCATGGGGACGCATCCCGGGTGGGCCTTCAGGAGTTAAAATGATGGAGTCATAAAGAAGTCCGATGCTATTAACAGTCTGACTACAAACCAGTGAAGATGTGACCAATGTTTTGAGACATGATGAAAGTACTTGGACACACAATTATTAAGCAGACCATAAAAGTTTGAAAAAAACCCCAACCCAGAATACTTGAACAATATGTGAAAATAAAGCTCAATCTCCAGTAATTGCAAATAAGTGTGTATTGAAATTTTAAACTTACAAAGACATTATTTTAATAGTAATAAATCAGCATTTTTTAGTAATTCAAGATCAAGAACAAATATTTATTCCAAACAGTAATTAGAATAAATGTTACCAGGGTAAGTAAAAATATGCACAGCTTAATGCCTTCCATCACAAAACAAAGAGAAAAACATGCTCCTAAAATTCTTCCAGAGCTAATTACCCTGGCAGAAGCGTGATACAGAGGATCACTGGCTCTGCTCTCCTGGCTATGTCATCTACATAGGCCTTCATGAGCAAAATTCGATCTAGGCCTCTGGCCTAACCAAATTAAAATTCACATTTCTGCGTGAGACTTGGGCTGAAGTCAAGAAAGGCTAAACATTAGCATTCTCTAGAACAGTTCGTAATTACAGTATGTGAAATGCAATCTATCATGTGTAATCAAAAGATAATTCTTCCTTTCTCTTATACTGTATAACAGACTTGGTAGAATTTCTAACAGTCAACAATATTTAGCAACAAGCAATTACTATGCTGACTTATTTTTTAATGCAAAATCCCATGCACTAGATCCGTAATGCTCGTCCCTCACCATAAGGAGTTCAGTGAGAGACTGTAAGGCCTGCTTCCGGACAGACACCGCGGGGTCCCGACACTGCTCCTGAAGAACGGACAGCTCTTCTTTCATAGCTGAGATGTTGCAGTGTTTCAAAACGCTCACCAGCACCTAGAAGGTGCATGTAGGAAATGAAGTGATGACCTATGCGTAGTCTAAATGCAAAACGACGAACCACAGGCGTAAACACTTCCTTCGAGTTTGCACTTCTTAATTCTTTTAAGGTTATGGATCCATCCCCACCCCAGGAGCATTCTACCTTTTAGAATCTAATGGAAGCTAAGGCTTCTCTCCTGAGGAAATTACTCATGCATGTTATATAAACAAGTACTTACAAACATTTTCAGTTTCACAGACTGTATCAAAATCTGTCCACAGTCCCCAAACTAACAACTAACATTTATTCCAAAAAAATGAAATTAAGGATATAAATTCATGGTTCTAAAAAAGCCAGCAAGCCAGTAGGAAAGCTTAAAACCAGATAATCCTTCAGTTCATCTGTGTAATTTAGGTAAAACAGGATCAAGATGACTGAATGTTAAATGAAGAGCAAATTAAGTAGCAAATGAGGCAGGAGGATTTTAAAAATATTCTCATGCATTTCCAAGTTTTCAGTGCTTAGAAAGAGAACACATTAAAGACCGCCTAGAAAAAACTCACACCTGGAGGGCAGACTTCCGAACGTTGGTCTTCTCATCCCTGATTCTCTTCCTCAGCATTGCCATGACACATCTTTCTGTCAGGAAACACGCAGTCGTTAGTGTCTGAGCAAGACAGCACAGCACCTGACGTCTCATCACACAGAACCGAGGACCTCTGAAAAACTGACTGATTAGCCTGTTTTATTTTTATTCATTTATTTATTTATTTTTAAAGAGGAGGGAGGGGAAAGAGAAAGAGAGGGAGGGAAACATCAGAGAGAGAGGGTGGTTGCCTCATGCGTCCCCTACTGGGGACCTGGCCCACAACCCAGGCATGTGCCCTGACTGGGGCTCAACCTGGTGACCCTTTTTGGGTCACAGGCCAAAGCTCAATCCACTGAGCTACACCAGCCAGAGCTAATTAGCCTATTTTAAATTAGAGTATAAAATGAAGTGAAATAGAAAAAAATTCAAATAATTAGATATTTGCAATAATGAAAAAGGCAATAGTGAAAAAAAGAGCAAACAATTTGAAAGGTTGAAAATTCAATTTTAAATCCTGGCTCCTATGTCTAAAGCTTTGAAGTATTTCAATCATAGCATTTTTAAAGACTAAGTAAAATAATATAAATATATGAGCAGCTTTAAACTTTTAAATTGAAGGCCTTTATACACTATTAAAAATTACTGAAGACCCCTAAGAGCTTTTTTTTTTCTAAGAGCTTTTTTAAAATGTGAACTACATGTTTTAATCTGAATTAGAAATTTAAACTGAGAACTATAAAAACAATAACTCATTTGAAAAAAGGCATGCCACTATAAAGAGTATATTTTAAATAAAAAATAACTGTACTTAAAGAAATCAGTAAAACAAATGGCATTGTTTTATAGTTTTACAAATTCTTTATTATTTGGCTTAATAAAAAACATCTGGATTCTCATTTCTCCTTCTGCCTGCCATATGTCACACTGTCATGTCATGGGATCTCTGGAAAACCTCAATTTATACTTGTGGGAAAATCAGAGTGCAGAAGGTACACTGTTCAATGTCTTGACATTATTATAAAAATAGTATTGGCTTCAAGGAGATGTGTTGAAGGAAACGTAGAATTCCAAAACACACCTTGAGAACGGGAATCTCTACGAAAGCAAATCAAAAAATGAACTACAGAGAAAATAAATAAAATTGAAACTAAGTATCTTGAAAAAGATAACAAAATTAACAAATTTTTTTGTTCTTTTAAAATTTTTATTATTATTATTTCCAGTTAAAATCTACTTCCTCCTTTTTAATTTAATCTTTATTATATTTTGTCCATTACCATTTAGTCCTCTCACACACCCCTGCCTCTCAGCATTCATGACATTGTTGTCTATGTCCACACAAAATTAACAAACTTTTAGACAGACTAAAAATAAGAGAGAAGATTCAACTGCTGAAATCAGGAATTAAAAGAGGGGAACATTATTACTGACTTTACAGAAATAAAAAGAATTGCAAAAGAATACTATGAACAATTTTATGTTACAAATTAAGTAAACTAGATGAAATGGACAAATTTCTACAACCATATGAATTATGGAAACTGACTCAGGAAGAAATAGAAAGTCTGAATGTACCTACAACAAGTAAAGATATTGGGTTAATAAAAAAACTTCCCACACCTGCACAAAAGGCCATGCATTACTGAAGAATTCTAGCAAATGTAAAAGCAAAAATTAACACCAATTTATATATGCAGATATCTGCCTCTCCCATTGCTCTTTAAGAAATAAACTATATGTTATTAAAGTCTGTATCTACAACTTCCAGCCAAGATGGAAGCATAAGTAGATATACTGTGCCTCCTCACACAACCAAAAGAAAAACAACAACAAATTAAAAACAAACAAACAGGAGACTTCCACCAAGATGGAGGCATAAGTGGAGAAGCCGTGCTGTCTCTCACAACCAAGTTTAGAGACAACTAAATATTAGCAACAGAAAACACAGCCAGAACACAGAAAATTGAACTTTTTGGAAGTCTGATAACAACGAATTCTTCAGCCTGACCGGTAAGAGGGGCGAAATCAGCAGCTGGTAGAGCGGGGTTGCACAGAAAAACTCGGTCAGACGGACTCAGGCTTTCGGAACCCAGGCGCAGGGTTGGACCTAGTAAGCGACTCAGCGAGCGACCGCGGGGAAACAGCGAGGGAGCAGGGCTGCGGGTTGACTGTGGTCGCACTTTTGTGCGCAGATAGACAAGCGAGGGAGTGGGCGGTGAGACTACGGGACTGAGCAGGCCCCACGGCAAGCTGCAGCAGAGGGCACCACCATTTCCCTGCTCTGACCCCGCCTCTACATACAGCGTCATAACCCAGCGACCTGAGTGGCCCCGCCCTGGTGAACCACCTAAGGCTCTGCTCCTCACTCAGCAGCACGAAACAGCAGAGGGGGCCGCCATTTCCCCGCTCTGACCCCGCCCCCACATATAGCATCACAACCCAGCGACCTGAGAGTCCAAGGCTCCGCTCCTCGTACTTAAGGGGCACAAACAGACCAAAAATGGCTCAAGAAGTTCTCAAAGCCCCAGAGCCTATAAATCTAAGCGATGAAGAAATAGCAAAATTCTCAGACGCACAGTTTAAAACACTGGTGATCAGGATCCTCACAGAACTGGTTGAATATAGCCACAAATTAGACAAACATATGAAGGCGAAACTAATTGAAATGAATGGAATTGCATAGGAAACCAATAGCGATGAAAAGGAAACTGGGACTCAAATCAATGGGGACCAAAAGAAAGCAAATAATGGCCAAACAGAAAAGAGTGAAGAAGCAAGAATTCAAAAAAATGAGGAGTCTTAGGATCCTCCAGGACATCTTTAAATGTTCCAACATCCGAATTATAGGGGTACCAGAAGGGGGAAAGGAACAGCCACCAGTGGAAAACTTATTTGAACAAATAATAAAGGAGAATTTCCCCAATCTGGCAAAGGAAATAGACTTCCAGGAAATCCAGGAAGCTCAGAGAGTCCCAAACAAGTTGGACCCAAGAAGAAACACACCAAGGCACATCATCATTACATTAGCCAAGATTAAAATGAAGAAGAGAGTCCTAGAAGCAGCAAGAGATAAGGGGACAGTCACCTACCAAGGAGTCCCCATCAGACTGTCAGCGGATTTCTCAAAAGAGACCTTCCAGGCAAGAAGGGGCTGGAAAGAGGTATTCCAAGCCATGAAATCCAAAGACCTACAACCAAGATTGCTCTATCCAGCAAAACTTTCATTTAGAATGGAAGGATAGATAAAGTGCTTCTCAGATAAGATCAAATTCAAGGAGTTCATCATCACCAAGCCCTTATTATATGAAATGTTAAAGGGACTTATCTAAGAAAAAGAAGTTAAAAAAACATGAACAGTGAAAGGACAGCAAATTCACAGTTATTAACAACCACACCTAAAACAAAAGCAAACTAAAAGGACAGCTAGATCAGGAGTGGAAACATAGAAATGAAGATCACATGGAGGGTTAGCAACAGGGGAGTGGGAGGAGGAGAAGAGGGGAGAAGGTACAGAAAATAAGTAGCATAGACAGTAGATAGAAAATAGATGGGGGGGGCAAGAATAGTATGGGAAATATAGAATCTAAAGAACTTGAGACACATGGTCATAAACTAAAGGGGGAAGTAATGGTGGGGATGGGGGGGTAGGGTGAAGGGGAATGAAGGGGGGAATAGAACAAGTGTAATGGCATAATCAATAAAAAAATAAAAAAATAAAAATAAAAAACAAACAAACAAAACCAATCCAGAACTGCCATAAAATCCAACTCTATGGAAAATCTGACAACTGAGGAGTTAAAGAAACATTCATCGAAATTGGTAGAAGGGGCAAGATAGGCAGCGTGGACTCCAGGCAAGGCAGTAGCTGGAGGGCAGGGGGGGCAAAGGGGCAGCTGGCAATCCCACATTTGTGAGCAGAAAAACTGGGAGGAACAACCTGGGAGGGAGGGAGACCAGGCAACCCAGGGTTCTAGCGCAGGGAAATAAAGCCTCAAAATCTCTCACTGGAAAAACCTATGGGGTTTGATGCATCAGGAGAAACTCCCAGCCTCACAGGAGAGTTCGGTGGAGAGAATGGGGGGAAAGGTACAGGGTATAAGAAGCATAAGTGGTAGGTACAAAATAGACAGGGGGAGGTTAAGAGTAGTATAGGAAACGAAGAAGCCAAAGAATTTATACGTACGACCCATGGACATGAACTAAGGGGGGGCGGGAATGCTGGGTGGAGGAAAATAAAGGGCAGAAAAAATGGGACAACTGTAATAGCATAATCAATAAAATATATTTTTAAAAAGGACAAAAAAACTTATCCAAAAAAGAAGTCTGTATCTACAATGCCTACCACAGATTAGGAGGGACCATATGAAAGTTTATAAAATAAACTAATAAGTCTAATTACATAATTGATCCTCTATGTACACGTTCTGTTTCTTCCTCTCTCTTATCTATCCATCCATCTTTAGAACCACTGCTGTAAACATTATTTCCACGGACTCCGACAGCAGCCCTCTACGAACTATATGGAAGGCATCAGGAACAGAACAGGACATTTGGGGAGTTTTGTTAATTTTCACGTCTAAGGTCATGCATGTATTTAGGAACAGAACCGTACGAGGATTCAGACTGCTTCTCATTTCTAATCGAGTGTTTAGTGTTTTCTCCACTATTCTGCGACACGTCACATCACAGGTGAAACAGAAGCTCAACCTCACAGCGAGACAGAAACAGAACCTGCGAGTGGGCTTTGGGCTCGTCCGCTACCCAGTGCGGGTGTGCAGTTTCCCTCCTGAATCACGTAAAACCGTCCTGGATTCAAAAAGCCAGTGAAAATGAGCAGGCAGTGCTTCAGTTCAGAACCCCGGGCTGGAGTCCATGTAAGAGAGGGCCCCACAATCACTCCATACAATGTATATGACCCATTACAAAGTGGTTCATTCCGTTGGTGAAGGGAAATCACAATCTAAATTCTAAACTGTCTTTTTCAGCGGAAGCCCGGACTCAGAGTGTCCAACCAGGTACTGGAAGTGGACTCTAGGGTGGCTGACTCAGATCCACGATGACGGGAAGACAAAGTAGTGAGGGGCGGGGAACGGGGACCAGGCCGGGACCGCACACTGTCCCTCACTGCCCGGGCCTGCTCTCTCCAAACACAGATTTAATCTCTGCTGTACTTTCCCTGATAGCCAGTTCTTTTTTGTTCAATAATCCCAAGAAATCACAACAATAAACTTCAATAATGAAACAAAACGTTTGTTAATATTCTCTTAAATGTTACAGAAATAATGGGTTTCAGTACGTAAGTAAAATGACAAAGCTTATTCTTTATCTTAAAAATGATATACGGTACACTGTTAGGACATCAATTAAACATGTAATAAAATAGAAATGACTCCATTTTTCAGGGAAAAAAAAAGATGTTCTGATTAAGGGTGAGTTAATTGGAAGAAGTCCAAGGTCTTTAGACTCTTCATAACCCCTCTGACTGTGATGAAATGCGACGCACCTCTAGATCCAATGGTTTCCTCACTGGCCTCTGTAGTGATCAGCCCCGAGTCTCCAGAAGGGTTAAGTGTTTGCTTCTGACAGGAAGAAGCTTAAAAATAATAAATTAAAAAAATAGCCTTAGTCATTAACGTAAAAATTTATTTCACCTTTTAATAATATAGATATGGCATATTAAACATTTACCACATATATCACTATTAAAATAAATGTCAACTTCTTTGATGAAGAAAAAAGTGCCATATTAAAACAGATATAGAAATAGGGAAAAATCAGATTATCAACTAGTCCTTTAAATAAAAAGGTAATTATTCAATACTCAAAAATATATCGACCCATTACCTGATGAGTTTTTCAGTAAAGTACCAGGGTGGCTCTCTGTTTGTAAAATTGTAGGACCTAAAAATATGCAGATAGATAAGAGGGGGAAAAGTCAGAATCATAAGTCCTAAATAAATGCTCACAGAGGAATCAAAATGAGAAGAGTTGGGCCTAAAGAGAAGACAGCGTCTGCGCTACTGACAGCTGACCGTGTCTCCTTGGGTTTGTGTGTGAAATGGGTATCAGGCCCCAGACACCAGCACCTAGCAGCGCACACCTGCCCCAGACAGCCCACACTCTGGCCTCTAACACGTGAATGTGTGATGTACTCAGAAAGGCCTTTCAAATGCATCAGGCTTGTCTAAAACGTTATTCAACAATACCATATCGGTTATTTTCGCTACAGCAAAGAATGAGTCCCTTGCAGTCCAATTTCTGGACAAGCACGAGATCAATTTCATTTCACGATGGTCACCACACTTACTGTTAATCAGGAATTCTAGGACGCTTTCCGACGCACTGTTCACAGACAGCTCCAGGCAATGTGCAAAACTGGATAACGCCTTGCTGCGGACGGTCGGTGCCTTGTCCAAACAACGGTCGAACATAATGTCCTGCACCAAGAACTTATGCTTTAGGAGCCTCTGCTGCTCCGTGGAGAGTGTGCCGTCCGCCTCTCTTTCTGGAAGTTCCAGCAGAGCTAAGGCAACGTCAAGGGTGAAGACCCTGTGTGGGATCTGGTGAGGCAACAATCGTCAGAATCTCCATCACACAGGAACAAAAACCAAAGGATCCCCAATGCATTCAGATCTGGTTGGCAGGAGAGGCTGCAGGACCAGGAACCAAGAGTCTAGCAGATGCACGTCTTACCTTGGAGCTTCGTGAATATCTGTACAGCCAGGCAATGAACGCAGCATACTCCCCACAAGGAAGCTTGCTGAGCAGCTGTACCAGGGCCTGGGCTGTACAGGTCCGGTACTCTGATTTATCCACCACCTGTGACACAGACAGTGAGAGGCTGTTTGCCCGGACAACCAGAACACATTGCAACACACGTGGAAAGCCAGGGGGTATAACTAAAACTAGTTCAGGAAATGACTGACAAGTTTGAGGTTTCCGACCTCTGAAAACTAACCTATAAGAAATTTTTAGGTCCTCTTCTCAGCAGTACAAGCTTAACACATGACTGAAGGGAGTTCATGCACCCCACAACCCATGGAGTTCAAAGTAAGAGTCATTCATCTGAACAGTTACAAAAACTTAAGAAATAATCCTAGAAATTTGAACATTAGGTGGATATTTGGTGATATTAAAGAATTACTCTGTATTCTGTGATTTTTTAAAGAGCTCTTATCCTTCAGAAATACATATAAATATTTACATATGAACGAATATAAAGGAATTTGTTTCCAAAAAATACAGTGTGCATACATTTTTGGGAAACACCACTTTTAGGGGTCGAAGGGACACAAGACTGTTGAAGATGGGTGCCCATCACCCTATTCTCTTTACTTCTTCACATATTTGACAACTTCCAAAGTGGAAAGGTTTTTTTACTCCCGAGAGAACACTGTCGCAGGGAATATGTAGTGCATGTATTAAACAAAGCCGCCTTTTAGTAACGACAGAGGCTCATTCCCAGGAACAAATGCACACACACACGTAACTTCATGTATTACATATTTTTTAAGTTATCATTACTGTCATTATTATTAAAGTGACTGGTACCTTGGCACAGATGTGCTGGAGTAAGATACGAAGAACTGGAAATATACTTTCCTTTAGTTCGTCCACAAGTGAACTATTAAAAAACACACACACACATCCCGTTTACATATACCTATAATTACAAGTCAGTTTCTTTGACTCTTCCCAAAACCCACTACACGTATGTTTCAGACACCCTAAATATTAAACACAATCTATCCCCACATGCAAGCACTGTTTCAGCAAACACAGAGTGACAAAGTAAGTGTCACAGCAGAAAACCACTCCGACGCCTCATGCAGGGTTTAGAGCCAGTGCTGAGCAGACCACTACACCTGCCTGGAGCAGATGTGCAATCCTCATACGACTCTTTAGCCTACTTTAGTAAATTTCATATGAAGACTCTAAAATATATCACTTTGGGATAAATAATAGACTAAGACATAGTACCACCTCATGGTAGCTCAGTGAAATGCAACTTACTTCAATGCATTTGTAACAGTACCTCTTCAAACTTGAACTCAAGGAGAAATTGTTATAATGCCCAGATCTGACCGATTTTCAGTGTTAAGTTTATTTGTACCATTGTGTGAACAGACTACTACATCATGAAATCTCATGGAAGAACCAAAGTGAGGGTGTGCACTTAAAATATTTGGTTATTTAATGACAGTCTCTACCTGGATTCCATTTTCAAATCTTCAGCTACATTATATACTGTGTATGGACACACTCTCATGGACTTACTGACCACTCTTTTCCCACCACCAAATATTCAATAAAGGAGGAAAAGAAGCCAATAACAGCAAATATGTCTTCCCCAACAATGCTGAAACATGGAACAGATTCTTAGGTGAACCTAAGTGACTCTTGAGGAAAAAATCAGCCTATCAATTATCGCTAAAGAAGTAAAAATCGACTTCATTCTTTTTGCAAGAAGTATTTTCTACAAAAGGAAAGGAATAGAAGAGTGAGAAGAAACCAGGAAGAAGTGGCAAGGAACCAGAGGAAGGAGCCTTGGTGAGAGAAACAGCAGACCAGGGGCGGCAGACTGCGGGTGGCCAGGACTGAAGCAGGTGACGCTACTCAGAGGCGGACCTCACAGGCTGGGGCTGGCCCGTGAACTGCGGTTCCCATCCCTTCCGCAAGATCCCAGGGCGGAGGTTACCAGCACTGACCCCGATCACACGAACCAGGTGGGCTCTAAAGTGCTTCATTCTGACCCCCAACCACAAACGCGTTACTCTCCAGAGGAGTCAGACACCCTGGTTAGTCCGGGGTCCGGAACACTGAGGCAAACGGACAAAGAGTAAAAACCCAAGCTGTGCACACTTCACCTGATGAACTGGATGGCCTGGTTCCTGCTGCTGATGACTGGTGAAGTGATGGCGAGGGGGGCATGATGGGATCCTTCGCCTACTTCTAACATCAGTATCACATTTAGCATTTGATGAAAAACAGAACCGATAACCTAGGAGAGGAAAAAAAAACCTCAACTTAAGCCATAACAGAGGATCCTCCAAGACTAAAGTAAACAGTTTCCAGCCGTCTAAAGGTAAGTCAGGTTGATGTAGTTTTGGGCTGAATTCCAGGGGTGTGTTTCTTAGACAATTATCAGGTAATCAATAAATGTACCAAGTAGACAGTGTGAAAACACAGCTTATAGATACTGACAGGAATATCAAGTAGTTTCTCTCTGAACCTTCTTGTACCGTAACTCAGAAATTAAGGAAAAAGTATCAATTGTCACTTAAAGATAGCACAGAATGCTAATGATAATCCCTTCTAGCAAAGGGAGGAAAAGAATGATATTTCACATTTGTATTGTATCTGGAGTTCACAAAGCACCTTCCAATGTATCATCTCGTGTAACTCACTCAGATGATGCAGCCACTCACCCAACCAGGCAGCAGGTGCTGCGCCCAGCACACTCACATGCAATGCCAGACTCTACTGTATTTCATCTTGAACCTCACTACTCCACAAGGGAAGCAAGGCATTTCCATTTTGCACATAGTATTATTATTTCCAGCTTATATGTAATAAGTGTTGTATGAAAGGAGAGAAGGTCAGCTTATATGTAATAAAACAGACTCCAAAGATGATTCTCCAAAGTCAAATAATTTAAGGCCTGGCTGAAACTAAAGCTGTCGAACATCAAGTCAGCATGTCCACAGTTAAAAAGCATTACAGCTTTAGAAACACAGTAACACAGTGGACCTAAAAGAATGCATTTTCCATCCGTTCTATTTTTTTAAAATGTTAAAAAGGGCATGAAAATTAAAAACATCCTGTGAAATCTATCACATTGTATTTCAAACACACAGAAATAATAGTAATATAATAAGTTATAAAATATGAATGTTTTTAAACAGCAGGCATTGTGTTCATCATCTGACAGGCCATCTTTTGTTTAATCCTCCTGACAAGCCTGTGAGGAAGATGAGCCTTTCCTTCCTCTCTGTCCAGATGAGAGAAGTGATGCTCTCACAAGGCTGAGTAAGTAACTTGCACAGACACAAAGAGGGGAAGGGGTGGAACCAGAATCTGAACACAGATGTGCCTTCGCCCAGGTGCCCCAAACCTTCTCTCCAACCACCACGGCCCTTATACTGCCCCTGGAAACTAAGTGTATCACAGCCACCCAAAGCCCCGTGACCATGGTCTACCCCATTTTTATGAAGTCTCATTTTGTTCATGACATCTAGTTCAGTGACACCAGAATGCCTGCATGACCCCCCTCCAGCGTCTGGAGCAGCGATACTGGAGCAGGTTGAGGAATCTGCAGGGGCAAAATCCATGCAGGAAAGCCAATTACAGGATGAGACCCAGTAATATTTCTGTAGAATTACCCACTCAGGTAATGTGAACGCTAATAAAAGCATTAAAGTGCGCTTGGACTGCCAAGGGAAACTAGAAAATTCCAACTGTTTATTCTCCTTTTTAGAAAAAATTGGTGAATATTTCTCTAAAAGTAATGTTCTGTTCAGTAGCTATCTGTTCTTCCTAATTTGTACTGAAACCACATTTTATGTATGGAACCAAATAATAATTTGCTGTGGCCACCAAGTACTTGGGTATAATTTTTGTTATGAAGAGTAGGCAACAAACAGAAATGGTTACACTTTCTAATTATACAAATGATGTATAAGGTCATGAAAATAACCTGGTAAATTAAAATAGCATTACAGCCAATATATGCTTCTAATGTTTTCCACTATATGATTTGCATGCTTTCAATTTAACTAGTAACTAAATTAGATCCTTGTCCCCTTTACCTTGTCTCCTTCTCCATGAATGGGGGAGCACAGCAAATACAATCCGTGATAAGCCAGTTCTGGTATGTACTTTGCTTGGTTAATGTCCCTAAAGAAAAAAGACCAAAGGTTAGTTAATGGACATGATTTTACTTTGAATATTCTCTTAACACTATAAGCCATAGTTAAATGAATAAATTCTGCCTGTGTGTCACTGAGGATAAAATGGCATTTATACTTCTGCTGAAGCAAAGTTCATTTTACTATATTTATATTTTAGCATTGGAAGGTTTAATGGCTCACCTGGCTTGTATAACGTTAAATTCATGAAGCACTGGCTCAAAATTAGTTAATGCCACCAAGACCTAGAAAACAGATACCAAAAAGAGGCCTGATTTTTCTCGCTCATTAAATATGAGCCGTGTCTGTGCCCTTTGAGATTGCCCCAAGCTTCTTGGAATTCTTACTTACCTCTATACAGGTCTGTACACACTGGGGCTTTTCTTTCAGGGAAAACTTGGACAGAAGCCTTAAAAAATTCTTCAAAAGGTGAGAGATGGCTTTTCGAATTTGACAAAGGTCCCATGCGGAAAAACACATGTCCTCTTCGTCTTCTTGTTCTTCTATAATCTCGTCCATCTACATTGTGAACAAATGTACAGGTGACGGTAAAATAATGCCTAACACTCTGTCTTGTGGTTCTTGACGCACAGATTTCAGACCCAGTGAGATGCTGGGGGTTGCTGAACTGTGAACTGACCAGGCCACTCGACTGCTCGGGTCTCCGTGGTCACGATGGTGCGCCACTGGACTAGATGACGGCTGCAGTGGTGTCTAGCTCTACCGCTCTGTATCAGTGAGTTCTCCCATCAGTGAACCCCTACCGTCCTGCCTACTCAGACAAGAATGTGGAATTAACGTTATTCTGAGTCCTCAGGATACTTCAGCTGCTCTCTCGAATGGCAATGAGATAACGCAGCAAATAATCCTGTTAGCAAATTGGTAAGCACACCTGGGTACCAGGCTGGGAGAGATGGTGGGGAGGTTGGAAGGTTGGCAAGGTAGAGACGTAAATGTACTCGTGGTCGTATATGAAGCCCAAGAGGCAACTCAGTCCTACGGAAGAGCTAATGATTATAATCATTATGTCTGAAACCATATTTTAATATAAATTGTTAAATCAAAATCATGTGTTGGTACAGATATGTTTTATTATTTCTCTTACTTCTTACCTCAATATCTTCTTTCCTGGGTGGCTTTCCTCTCTTTCTATGCCCTCTTGGATTAGCCTGTGAGTTCTTAGGCTGTTCTTTTTTCCTTTTCCGACTCAAGTTAGATTCCTGAGGCCAGCTCTTCTTTAGAATCTGTATACATTTGTCAAACATCACTGGGTGGAAAATCTGATTGGCGACACTGCCTATTCATAAAGAATAAAGAGTAAGCAGGTTATCTGTAATTGTCTTGAAACATGTCTGTAACAACAGATAAAAATTTAAAAAGCAGCCCTGGATGGTGTGGCTCAGTATATTGAGTGCCAGCCTGCAAACCAAAGGGTCGCTAGTTCGAGTCCCAGTTAGGGCACATGCCTGGGTTGCCAGCTGGGTTCCCAGTCGGGGGCGTGTGAGAGGCAGCACACACATTGATGTTTCGCTCCCTTTCTTTCTTCCTCAGGAAGGAAAATGTGCCCCATCACAAGAAGAATCAGTCAACAAAACCAGTCTGAGAAACAAAAGAGATAATAGAACAGGAAGACAAGAACCTTAGGGAAGATATTATAAATCAGTTCAAGAATTAAAAGTAAAAGAGTAGCAAACAAAAAGAGAAATGAAATTTCTTTTAATAAAAGAATTAAATGCAATTTCTTGATCTGAAAATGAAAAATTCACGGGATGGGCTTATCAGTGGATTAGAAATTGCAAAAAGAAAAATTGAATAGACTCAGCGACTTGTGGGAAAGTATCGAACAGCCTAGCATGAGAAATTCAAGTTCCAGAAAAAAGGAGGGAAGATTATCTGAAGAAATAATAACTGAAAAATGTCCACATTTGTTAAAAACTATAAATCCACAGACCCAGAAGCTCAACAAACCCAACTGTAATGAACACACACATACACAAACCACACAAAAGCATAATTTAATCAAATTGCTGAAACAAAGTAATAGAATCTTTGAAGTATCCAGACTAAATAAAAGGACACAAAACAAAGAAACAATTTGGCAGTAGAAATTAACATAAAGCAGAAAACAAAGAAATAACACCTTTTAAAAAATCTGTAACCCTTGACTTCTATATTCAGCAGAAACATTCTTAAAGGGGTAATAAAAACATTTTCATGGAATCGAAATCTGAGACAATTGATGGCCAGCGGAACTGTATCAAAAGAATGTTGAACAAAGTGTTTTAGGCTGAAGAAAAATTACACAAGATGAAATCTTTTAAATATAAGAACTTTTTATTTCAAATTCTTTAAAAGATACTTCAGAGACAAATGTGGACAATAAACTGTGGGGTTTATGACACGTAGGAATACAGTGGATAACTAGAATAGCACAAAGAGGAAGAGGAGGAAGGGACATTGTTTTAAAGGTTCTTACATTATCTACAAGTTGTAGAATATTATGAAAAGGTAGATTGTTAAAAGCACTTATTGTATACCCAAAGGAAGCACTTAAAACACACACATACATGTTAAGAAGTATACTTAATAAGCCAAAAGGAGAGATATTTAAAAAGACTCAATCCAAAAACAGACAGAAAGAGGGAAAAATGGAACACAGAAAAGATGGCACAAACGGAAAAGCAACATGGCAGAATCCCAAACATACTGATAGCCACACTCACTGTGATTATCTGAACTGTCTAAAATTTCTAATATAAAGGCACAGTAAATGATTGATCGTCAGAGTGGATGAAAAACATGACTCAACATTAAGCAGTCTAAAACACACAGATTAAAAATAAAAACATGGCCAACTTCTGGCCAAGATGGAGGCACAGGTGGGAACACGGTGCCTCCTCGCACAACCAAGTTTAAAGACAACAAAGTTTTAGTAACAAAAATGCAACCAGAACACTGAATATTGAACTATACTGAAGTCCGACCACAATGAACCGTTCAGCCAGACCAGTAAGAGGGGCGGAGCCAGCAACTGGTGGAGCAGGGTTGCGCAGGAAAACTAAGCCAGACCCACCCAGGTGCATGGGTGGCGGTTGGCCCAGGTGTGGGGTTGTGACGGGCAGACCCAGTAAGGGTGCAAGGCAGCAGGTTAACGGTGGTCACACATCCACGGGTAGATAAACCAGGTAAAGGAGCGAGCAGTGAGATGGACCATGAAGGCCCCAGCAGCAGGAAGCAGCAGAGGGGACCGTCATTGCCCCTCTCTGACCCCACCCCCACATACAGCATCACAACCCAGCGACCTGGGTGGCCCTGCCCTGGTGAACACCTAGGGCTCTGCCCCTCCTACATAACAGGTGCAAACAGACCAAAACATTATGGCTCAAGAAGAACTCAAAGCCCCAGGGCCAATAACTCTAAGCGACCAAGAAATAGTCAACCTATCAGGTGCACAGTTCAAAACCCTGGTGATCAGGATGCTCACAGAACTGGTTGATTTTAGTCACAAATTAGAGGAACATATGAAGGCAAAACTAATTGAAATGAAGGGAAATGCACAGGAAACCAATAGTGATGGAAAGGAAATTAGGACTCAAGTCAAGGGAGCGGACCAGAAGGGAGAAAAAAATGATCAAACAGAAAAGAATGAAGAAACAAAAATTCAAAAAAATGAGGAGAGGCTTAGGAACCTTCAGAACATCTTTAAACGTTCCAACATCCGAATTATAGGGGTACCACAAGGGGAAGAGGAAGAGCAACAAGTGGAAACCTTATTTGGACAAATAATAAAGGAGAACTTCCCTAGTCTACAAAGGAAACAGACTTCCAGGAAATCCAGGAAGCTCAGCATCCCAAAGAAGTTGGACCCAAGAAGGAACACACCAAGGCACATCATCATTACGTTAGCCAAGATTAAAATGAAAGAGAGAATCCTAGAAGCAGCAAGAGGTAAGGGGACAGTCACCTACAAAGGAGTCCCCATCAGACTGTCAGCGGATTTCTCAAAAGAGACCTTACAGGCAAGAAGGGGCTGGAAAGAAGTAATTCCAAGTTATGAAATCCAAAGACCTACATCCAAGATTGATCTATCCAGCAAAGCTTTAATTTAGAATGGAAGGACAGATGAAGTACTTCTCAAATAAGATCAAATTCAAGGAGTTCATTATCACCAAGCCCTTATTATATGAAATATTAAAGGAACTTATCTAAGAAAAAGAAGATTAAAAATATGAACAGTGAAAGGACAGCAAACACAGTTATTAACAACCACACCTAAAACAAAAGCAAACTAAGAGGACAGCTAGATCAGGAGCAGAACCATAGAAATGAAGATCACATGGAGGGTTAGCAACAGGGGTGTGGGAGAAGAAGAAGGGCGGAGAAGGTACAGAAAATAAGTAGCATAGACAATAGATAGAAAATAGATAGGGGGGAGGGCAAGAATAGTATGGGAAATATAGAATCTAAAGAACTTGAGACACGTGGACATAAACTAAAGGGGGGGAATGGTGGGGGAGGGGTGTGCAGGGTGGAGGGGAATGAAGGGGGGAAATAGGATCATTGTAATGGCATAATCAATAAAATATATTTTAAAAAAAGAAAGAAAATAAAAGCATGGCAAAGGATGTCCAACTGAGGACAAATCATAAGATAACTAGACTGGGTATTGCAATATCAGACAAAGTAGACTTCAGGGCAAGGAATACAACCAGGCAAAGAGGGACACAACATAATACCGAAAAGTCAATTCATCAGGAAGACATACAATGTCTGTATCTCGCAGCCCTTACCTGTGTGGTTCACTGGGTTGGGTGTCGTCCCACAAAGTGAAAGCACGTGGGTGCAAACCCGAGGCAGGGCCCACGCCTACACTGTGGTTCAGCCGCCGTCTGGGTGCGTGTGAGAGGCAGCCAACTGACGTTTCTCCCTCACACAGATATTTCTGTCTTTCTTTTTCTCCCTCCCTTCCCCCTCTATAAAATTAAATAAATAAAATCTTTTTTTTTAAGTGTGCATCTTGCCCTGGCTGGTGTAGCTCAATGGATAGAGCACAGGCTTGAGGACCAAAAGATAGCAGTTCGATTCCCCATCAGGGCACATGCCTGGGTTGCAGCCAGTTCCCAGCAGGGGCCAGTTCCCAGCAGGGGATGCACCAGAAGCAACCATACATTGATATTTCTCTCCCTCTCTCCTTCCCTTCCCTACTAAAGATAAATAAATAAAAATTTTTTAAAAAGTTTGCGTCTTGCAGACTTCCAAAATACCTAAGTTATAACTCATAGAATTAAAAGAAAAAACAGATAAGTTGACAAGTATACTTGGAGATTTCAATACTTCTCTCTCACTAACTGATAGAACGAATCAACGGAATACCAGGAATGATGGAAGACGAACACCCCTAGCAACCAACTTAACATAACTGTCATTTACAGACACTAGACCCACCAAAGGCAGGATTCACATGCTGTTCTTGTGCCAACAAAAGACTTACCATGTTAGACCCTATGCTGAGCCGCTAAAAACAACAAAAAAACCTCAGTAATTTAAAAGTATGTGCTACGATCTCAACAAAATTACAACAGAAATCAATTATTATAAGATGTCAAGAAAGTCCTCAACTATTTCAAAATTAAACACACTACTAAATAACTCTAAGTAGAAATCATAAGATTAGAAAATTGCTTTCACCTGAATGACAATGAAACAGGTCACCAAAATTTGTGGAATGCAGATAAAGCAGAACATAGAGGGAAATTTGTAACATTACTCATATGAGAATGAAAGAAAACTATGAGAACAAAGATCTATGCATTCACCTTAGGAAGTTAAAATAAGAACAAATTAAACCTAAAGTAAGATGGAAGGCAATGGAGATAAGATCAATGACAAGAAAAGTAGGTAAGTAGGGTGTAATCAATATCAAAAGTGGGTTCTTTGAAATGATCAATAAAATTAATAAAGCTGCCTAGGCTGATGAAGAAAAAAAAAACAAAATAGAAATCACCAACATCAGACATGAAAGAGGACATAGCCCTACAGATGCCACAGCGTTCTTTGGACAGAAACTCCAAACCCAGATGGCTTCACCAGTGAGGTCTACGGAGGATGCTGAAGAAAATGACTGCTTTTCCTGCCACCTTCTAAGTCCTAGCTGGGCTAAGAATCAAATTAGCAGAGAAAAATTAACAAGGACAAATTAACAGGAGAGAATCAAATTTTAGTGCTTGTACATGGGGAATTCAACACATGCATGAAAATTCCACAGACGACACTGGGCATACACGGCACTTTGGACCAAGGAGAAAATGGGGGAAGAGACTGAGACTGGCTACTCCAAAAGCAGACGAAGAGCGAGCACACGAGGCAGCAAAACTGCGGCCAGGCAGCTCGGAAACAAGGGACACTGGTGGCACGGAGCCAACAGTCCCCTGCCTGAAGCTCTTCCTATCTATCATACTTAATTCCAGTTAGGCTAAGGAGAACATTCTAAAATTTCCTTCCTAAAGCAGGTTCTTTGACCTAAAATCTCTTGGGCAGGAAAGAAGAAAGGGTCAAAAGTTTTTTCCCGAGTTTTTTGTTTCTTAATAATCAGCTTCCCAAAATCAATATCACAAAAGATAAGCTTCAAGGTGGCAAAACTTTGGTCTCATTTACTACCAAAAACTTAAGAAGGATAATTAATTCTTCCCAAACTTCCAAAACACTGAAGAGGCAACAGCATTACCCCAAACTCATTCTATGATAATAGTATTGCCCTGAAACCCAAACCAGACAGACATCTCAAATATATATATATATATATATATATATATATATATATATATATATATATATATAAAATCTCCTTTGTGATTATAAATGCAAAAATCTTCAACACAATACTAGCAAACTGAACTTGGCAACACATCAAAACAGTTACACACTGTAACCAAGGTTATACAAAACTGGTTTAACATATGAAAATCAATCGATGCAATATACTATATTATGAACATAAAGAACAAAACCACATGATCACCTCATAAATACAAAAAAGCAAAAACCAAAATTTAATAACCTTTCATAATAAAACACTCAACAGTTAGAAATAACCTGAGAAAGGCTATCCTCAAAATACCCACAGAGAACATCCTAAGAACGAAGGACTGAAAACTTTCCTCCTGAGGTCTGGGACAAAACAAGATGTCACTTCCCTACTACTCAACAATGGGCTGGAGGTCCTAACCAGGGCAATAAGACAAGAAAAAGAAATAAAAGGCACCCAGGTTGGAAAAGACGGAGTAAAATTATGCCTATTCATAGATGACACGATCTTATATATAAAAAATACAAGTAGAACCAATAAATGAGTTCAGCAAAGTTAGAGGATACCAGATCAAAAATCAAATATCAAATTGTACTTCTATACACTAAAAGTAAATAATCTGAAAATGAAAATAAGAAAAAATTCATCTATAATATCATGAAAGGATGAAATACTTGGGAATAAATTTAATCAAAGAAGTGCAAGAGTTATACACTGAAAACTGCATATCACTGAAACAAATTAAAGACCTAAATAAATGGAAAGACATTCTGTGTTCATGGATTGGAAGACTTAATGTTGCTAAAATGTCACTCCCCAGACTGATGTACAGACTCCATGCAGTCCCCGTCAAAACCCCAGCACTTTTCCCCCTGCAATTGATATGTAAATCTTAAATCATATGGAAATGCAAGGGACCCAGAAAAATAAAAACAATCTTGAAAAAGAACATATTTTTGATCAAATATTAAGTATCAACAGCATCCCAATCATAATTCAGGGATATTTAGAAGCAGAAGATAATTGGGACGAGTATAATTTCCAGGAAAGCTGCAAGTGGCCCCACAATGAGCAGCAGCCGCCTCACCTCTTCGATCTGACATGAGTCTCAACCTTAATCAGAAATGGAGATCACATGGAGGGTTATCAGTGGGAAGGGGAGAATGAGGGTAAGGGTACAGGGAATAAAGAGCATGATAGGTAGGCGTAAAATAGACAGGGGGATGTTAAGAATAGTATAGGAAATGGAGAAGCCGAGGACCTTGTATGTATAGCCCACAGATATGAACTAGGGGGTGGGGAATGCTGGAGGGAGGGGGGGGCAGGGCAGAGGGGGATAAAGGGGAGAAAACAATGGGACACCTGTAATAGCATAATCAATAACATACACTTAAAAAAAAAAGGAATGGCCTCTAGTCATAAAGCTGACTTTCCAAAAACTGTCCGTTTTCTGAGATCCTAATTACACCTAAATTCTTTAGTCATTGATTTTAAAAGTCATGGGAGTAATAACAATACAAATTAATGTTTAAAGTTTTATGCATCTTTTTATAAATTCTTAACGTTCATGGCAAGTGCATCTGTGAGAACGACAGCAGCAAAGCTGGCTAATCCTGTGATTTTCTTTCCTATGTGATCTTTGGGTTCTCCTGCTCCTTTGAGGTTCAGCCCTCCTCTGCTCTGAGTTACCACAGGGAGAAGGAACGCGTCCCCGGCTCACCAGAGGACAGCTGCCTATGAGCTCTGACAGTGAAGGAACTGAACAGTGCTCATAGGTTGCTCTCCGGTGCCTCCTGCCATCAAGTGTTAAAGCTAGGCTTCCCATGCTCTTTTTTTAAAAAATATTTTATTTATTTATCTTTAGAGGGGAAGGGAAGGAGAGAGGGAGAGAAATATCAATGTATGGTTGCCTCTCATGCGTCCCCTGCTGGGAACTGGCTTGCAACCCAGGCATGTGCCCTGACTGGGAAGTGAACCGCAATCTTTTGGTTCGCAGGCCCACGCTCAATCCACTGAGCTACACCAGCCAGGGCTCATGCTCTCTTGATTAGAATGGTCTAAATGTTGAACACACCACACAGGAGAGATATGACAAAAGGTGCCCTGGAGCAGTTTTTGCCAGTCTGGACGGGCAGTCAGGGGAAGAGAAGGAAATACCAGGACATTATACTAGGTGGGGACGGGTGGGAGAGGGGCTCTGGTAGCTAGGAAACTTTCTCCCTCCAGCCTGGTCCCTCCCAGATTATTTCTATTGGGTTACTGACACAGCGCAATATTTTAAAAACACACACACATTGAAAGGAACATGAAAAAGACACTTCTGAAGAACTTATACATGTACTTCATGGATTTACCCTCACTTAAAATCAATGCACTCTATGAGATGGGTCTCTGCTACTCTGTTTTATGTCAGGGAACAAGGGTAAGAGCTCAAAAAGAACACAGAAAAAGTTTAAATGATGAAAGATATGTTCTATCACATCAAATTGCATACCTGGTACTTCTAGGAGCAGGAAATAAAGACCAGCGGCATGAAGACCATATTCTCGATGTTGCACACTGATATTTTTCTTATGGACTGTTTGAACAAAGTGATAGAACAAAGCCACCAGCGCATGGTGAGAAATATTGTTCTCAGTGAAGAAGGTCCAAATGATCTGGGGGAAGGAGGAAATCACAAAAGCCAGTGATTACAGAAATGTAAAAATCTCCTATTATTTGATTTTGGTAAGTATTAATACTTAGTGCCTTATAAGAGGGGAATCGACCAGCTTGGCTCTGAATTAGGAACATTTGCCATCTTCAAAGGGACTAAAATAAAAAATTAAAAATGTATTATTCAAAATGACAAAGTATGTAAGAGATTTAAATGATTAAACTCAGAGAAAGTTCTGGTAAGTTTGAAGCACATATATTTCTGAAATTATTATAGCTAAAAACTGCACTAAGACTTTCGGGACACTGCACACCTGAGATTACTCAGACATGTCACCCTCTATGTGTGTTACGGTGCCCGAATTCATCAATCACTCTGACTCCTAGCTGAGGAAATCAGATCAATTTACTAAAATTTAAATGTCCTGTGGGCAATGGGAATAAGAAAGGACCCTCCCTCAACTGATTTCAGAAGTAGCCCACGTGAGAAAGGAGTAAACCTCAGAATATAAATCACAATTTTATTAACTTTGTCACTGTTCCATGCTTTCCCCTATTAAACACACGAAGAAGAAATGGGTTGTTTCTATAAATCAAATGTAGCAGGAACTAAATATGGTTTACTCTGGAGTCCCTTAAAAAACATAAGCCCATAAAAGTTCAAGAAGTCAGACCATGTACCTCCTGCTCCCCTGAACAGACAGGGAAAGTCGTAGGTAATGTCTTGGCCTCGGCACAGTGCTTAGACTTGCCATTTTGCAGAGGGGCCACATAGAACCGTGCAGCATGTTCCTTTCCTTGACCATGGACTTCTGGAAGAAGTCACTTCATAGCAGTAACAGCCTCATTCCTAACAGCACTTCAGCTCCTATATGCCTGTCCCTGGAACCCTGGAAGTTGCCGATGACAATCCAAACACCTCTGCCCTCCCTCCCTTGTCTCAGGACTCTACCTGCCCATCACCTCTGCAGCATTTGGTACCCGAGCCGCTTCCCAGCCTCCGTGACAGAACTCCCCACACCTCTGCCTACTCCTCCTCAGTTCTCCTTCAACCAGCTTCCCTAGTTCTGCCCTGTGTCTCCTCACCCTCACTGATCTCTGTGATTCAAACAACATCTTGAGCCAAAGGACCCTCTCATTTATTTTGTTGAATTTTAACTTCTCTCCCAGTCTTCTGACCCATGTTTCCAACTACCAATTACCCTGCCCTAATGATCTGTTAACGAATTTCACATTCAAAGCCTAGAACTGAACTCATCCTTTTTCCCTTTGACCTTGCTCTCTCCATTATTCCCCACACCCTGGCTGACAATGTCATGCTCATAGCTTTGAAATCTTGGTGATCTTCCACGTTTTTCTTTCTCTCACTCCCTACAGCCAGCTGATGGAGCACTTCCCAGATTTATCTTGCAGATCTGTCTGCTGTTACACTACTCACAATTCTCTCAGCCTTCTCCACATATTCCCTGTTGCTCCCTCCCTAGGAATGCCATCAGACCCTAATATCTGCTAGTCATCACTCTACCCACTTGCAAAGGCTCACCTTTGGCTATGTTCTTTCTGGAACCTTGCCAATATCACCATGCTCCCTCTTCCACATCCCTACTAAATGGCAGCACACCTCTCTCAACAGCAGTTTCCACGATGTGGCTCACCAAGTATTTCCAGCCCTTCCCCTAGACGGTGGAGGCACTGTGGTGCTCCACCCTCCTGGAGCGGAGCATGGTCTCTGGACTTGCTCTGCCAGTGAAAGGGAGCAGGGGCTGTAAGAGCTGGTTCTTCAACCCCCCCCCTTCCCCACACTGGGGCCATCCCTGAATAGGGATGGGCTCCGTCTGCACTGTGGTCGTCAGTTTACCTTCTAAGGCACTTAATGTAGTGCTTGACGTTAAGACTGATGTTTAACTAGATGACTGAATTTTTGAAAAGCAATGTGAAATTTGTAACTGGAACATTCTTTCAATTTAAAATTTTCAGATGTATATCTAAATATTTTTTGTTCTGGTACCTAGCCCTTCAGTTTTTTGAAAAGCAGTCAATGAGCTAAATACTAATACACACACTAGGTAGAACTCAGTATTTAAAGAAACTCTTTATTCTGATTGACTTTAAATAATTACTTTGCATTTGAATTAATACCAGATTTTTTTTTAAGTTGAGGAGTACTGAAATCGTTATTATATTTTCCTGGGCCTTCTTTTCATATCTGGTTTACTCTGGTTTTCTCTCTTGTTTTGGCCTTTATTCTTTTCCTCTAATTTGCTGTTTTAAAAATGTCATGACTTGGAAAAAAAAACAGACAGATTAATGCCTTGAACCTTCCAGAGGAAAGTAGTCAGGATATTTCAATAAATGATCCACATTCTTTATGCTACTCTCCTCACACTCTTTATGAATTGTTCACTAAAAAGACTAAACTTTAGGTGATAATAATAACTTTAATATTCTACTTCCGACACCCAAAGATGGCTAACTTGAATTTTCCTTTTTTTCCCCTTACCTCTGTGGAACCATGTTCTTCAGTGGCAAAGTAGAAAAGACTTTCATAGAGTTTTGTAAACGCATCCAATCCAGTCTCTGTAATTTCTGCTTCTATACTGGGATCCAGAGGCGTGGTCTCCGTGAAGTCCAGTCCCCAAACCATGTCCACCCATTCTAGTGGAGGAATGCAATTAAATCAGGATGTGCTCCACAGCAAGCAAAAAACCAGTAATTTTTAGACTCCGGGCACATTCAAGAGGAAAAAAGTTTATTAGTCACAACTCGCATTTAATCACATAATACAGGTGAAGTATAATTCGAGGAGAGCGGAAAAGCTTAAGAAAATCTTTTGTTTCTTTTTAAATTACAACTGATATCTGGTTATTAGGTTGGTTATCTTCTAAAAATATCAAAGAGGAAAACACTTTTTGCATACAACAGTTCTGGGGAACGACACTTCAAAACACTCAATGATCAGCCTTTCCCACATATTCAATTTGGAGAAGAAAGAAGTTAATCAAAGACTGTCCCGGGAGTCCCCTTGTAAAAGCTTTGTAACAAAGTTAATAAGCCCAAATAAAATACTTTATTGGGCACTTGCAGAATAATGTAGCATGTCAAAAAAAGATACAATTTCCCCCAAGAAGTTTTAAGCAGAGGAGGCAAGTCAGATCCACACTCAGAGAAATACTCAGGGATTTAAAAACATCCTGGAAAGAGTGTATACTAAGAGAATGTAACATTAATGTGGCATTCTTTTTTTTTAAGATTTATTTATTTATTTTTAGAGGGGAAGGGAAGGAGAGAGAGAGAGAAACATCAATGTATGGTTGCCTTTCATGCATCCCCTGCTGGGAACTGGCCTGCAGGGAACTAGCCTGCAACCCTAGTATGTGCCCTGACTGGGAATCGAACCACGATTGTGTGGTTTGCAGGCCCGCACTCAATCCACTGAGCTACACCAGCCAGGGCTAACGTAGCATTCTTGCTAATCTCTCTTAACTCTAAACCTTCTCACATGTTTCTAACAAATATCTTCCCTAATATTTTGCTGGTATAGCCTAAAACCTAAATTCAGGAGAGGTGGAAACATGTGGACCTTTCCAGTATTGCTAATCAGGTGCTCCTTCATGCCACCTTCTGGGATCTCTGCAGGAGAGAGATTCTTACCAGGCAGCACCACAGACAGGACATCGCTTCATCCCAGGAGTAAAGCCTAGAGCTGGACAGCACCCCACACACCCACACCCACCTCCACGGCTGTGAAGAGTAGGCAGCTGCTGGGATAGGAGGGCTGGGGGAGCGAGAAGAAGGCAGAGGCTCAGAATCACAGTTGACCCAAGGCCAGCCCCTTTCAGGAACCCAGAGGTCAAGGTTCTCAGTTCAAGAAATTTTAATAAAAAGGCTCAAATTAAAGGTAGGTCTTATGATTCATAAGACACAGGATGGCACCGCTTAAAAGAAACCTTTCCAGAGGTGAGGTCACTGCCATCTTGATGGTTTCACCCTTGCACTGGTGGTGGGGGCATGTGTTTAAGATTTTGTTTTAAAATACCAATTGGGTATTTTAAAACAAACAATTTGGGTTGCTTGGGGACATGCAAGCCAAAGGACATTCTCTGGAGTACTGATACCTACAGCGGTGGCTTCGCTGCCTCTCCTTACTGCTCTGTCTCCCATGAAGAAGACATGGAGATACAGTAATTCTGGCCAAGGTGGAAGAGTAGGCAGAAACCCTTCACTTCCTCGCACAACCAAAAGGAGGATAACGACCAATCTAAAATCAATAAACAACCAGAAGTGCCAGAAAATCAAACAGCATGGAGCTCTGACAACCAAGGAATTGAAGAAATAAGCAACCAGAACAACCAGACCAGCATAGCCACAGTGCAGCAAAGAGGGTTGCCCTGCCCTGGTGAATATCTAAGGCTTAACAGGGGTGCTGAGACAAAAAAAATATGGCCCAAATGAAAGAACAGAGCAAAGCTTCAGAAAGAGAGCCAAACAATGAGGAGATAGCCAACCTACTAATGGAGAATTTAAAGGCCTGGTAATCAAAATTGCTCACAGAACTGATTGTACTTGGTCAAAAAATGAAAAAAATAAATGAAAGATACCCAAAATGAAATAAAGCAAAATATTCAGCAGAATGAAGAAATAAGAGTCCAAAAAAATGAAGAGAGGCTGAGGATTCTCTGGGACAACCTGAAACGGCCCAATACCCAAATTATAGGGCTGACAGAAGAAGAACAAGAGCAAGAAATTGAAACCTTATTTGAACAAATAATGAAGGAAAACTTCTCCAATCTGGTGAAGGAAATAGACTTCCAGGAAGTCCAGGAAGCCCAGAGAGTCTCAAAGAAGTTGGATCCAAAAGGGAACATACCAAGGCACATCATCATTAACTTACCCAAGATTAAAGAGAAGGAGAGAATCTTAAAAGCAGCAAGAGGGAAGGAGAGAGTTACCCAGAGAGGAGTTCCCATAAGACTAGCAGCTGATTTCTCAAAAGAAACCTCATAGGCAAGAAGGGGCTGGAAAGAACTATTCAGAGTCATGAAAGGCAAGGAAGGATGTACATCCAAGATTGCTCTATCCAGCAAAGCTATCCTTTAGAATGGAAGGACAGATAATGTGCTTTCAGATAAGGTTAAGTTCAAGGAGTTCACCATCACCAAGCCCTTATTACATGAAATGTTAAGGGGACTTATCTAAGAAAAAGATGATCAAACCCATGAACAGTAAAATGACAACCAACTCACAACTATCAACAAATGAACCTAAAAGAAAAGAAAAACAAAGAAAACAAAACTAAGCAAACAACCAGAACAGGAACAGAATCAGAGAAATGGACATCACACAAAGGAAGTTCAGTGGGGAAGGGGGAAGGAGGAATGGGGGGAAAGGTACAGGGAAGAAGAAGCATAATTGGTAGGCATTATATAGATGGGCAGAGATTAAAAAATGGTATAGGAAATGGAGAAGTCAAAGAACTTATATGTACAACCCATGGACATGAACTAAGGGGGGAATGCTGAAGAGTTGGGGGGTACAGGGCAAGGGAGGATAAAGGGAGAGAAATTGGGAAAACTGTAGTTAACATAACGAATAAAATATGCTTAAAAAAAGAAACCTTTCTGTGGACTTGACTGTTTTAACATGCATGCTTTAGTTAATTATTCATTTACTCTCTCCTTCCTAGTCATTCTAACTACAGTCATCTTCCTAAAATGTTCTTGTATCTTTCCTCTCACACATTCTTTCATTTATTTTATATACATATATTAAATGCATGTTAATAAATGCACATCAGTATATCAGATCTCATTTCTGGGTGAGAACTACAAAGTCCCAATGAGAAAAGAAAGTATCTGGTGACAGGAAATCAATTAATTCAATAAACAAGAGCTACTACTATTTTTACAGTGGATGAGTGTGAAAACAGTAACAGAGATGTGAAACACTAACAAGCCTAATAGAAAATATTACTGGGAGAAGGGGAGAGGAAGAGCTGGGAAGGATGGTTCTTCTTTATTTGGACCTAAACGTGGACGTTGAGGAGGGAAAGAAAAGTAGAAAAGTGCATAACAAAGCACAACGGGAAAGTATAACCTGATAGGGAATAAACAAAATGACTACAGCACAGAGATTAAATGTAAACGGTGAGAGTTATCACTAGTATTTTTCAGCAGTAGCAGGTACCGAATTAATCTTCACAAAACCCTCGGTGAGGTAGATATTATATCCCTATTTGACAGATAAGTAAACCAACGCTTAGTAAGGTTAAGCCGCCGGATGCTTAGCAAGTCTAAAACCAGTTATCTCTGACTCCAAAGATTATTCTCTTGGAAAAGACTGCAGTGAATAGCGAAGGCTCTTTTACGGCAGGCCAGAGCTTTGGTCATTTAGTAAATAAAGGGGGAAATAGTAAAGGTTTAAAAACCTGACAGATGCATTTGCGTTTTCAAAAGTTGTCCTAGCGTACAGATTTGCAGAATAAGAAAGGGAAGGCCGAGAAAACAGATGCAGAAGAGCCAAAAGATATCGAACAACATAAACTCTTCTTTAACGTGGCTCTTTAAGCTCTATTCCATTCTCGGCTCGCCTACCTCCAGGAGTGCAGACCCGGAGGGCCCAGACTTTGCAGACAGCCAAACGCCCCACCCCCACCGCACTCCAGGCCTAGGCTGAAGAGCAGTACAGGCGCAGAGCACCCCATCCCTGCCTCCGCTAGGCTCGAGGCCTCGTTTCCTCACCCGGGCTGAGATCCACCGGGCACCAGGGCTGCAGGCCGCTCCCAAGGTCCGGCAGCGCCACCATGGTCGCCCCGAAACTCCTACGCCTGCGCTGCGGTCAACTTTCAAAGCTCGCTTCCGCGCGCGCTCCGAGTCGTTCCTGCGGACCAGTCACGACTTGAAGAATTTCCCACGGACCTATCGTCGCGTTCAGTCCGCTTCGTTACATTAACCAATCAGCAGGGTCTTCTACCGCATGCGCAAAGAATGGGGCGGGCCAGGGACCGTAGACTACGCCAAGGTTCCAAGACCTCGTGTTTATTTTTTCCTTTAAAGAAGGGGTTAAGAAATCAGTTAAATTCTAATAGCGCTTTTCCGGCCTAATTTTTCTTAAGTGGGAGGTCACTTAAAAGAGAATTTGAGACAAGATACTTCCTGTAAGACAGCTTTGCGCTCCTGTCAAGTGACATTTCTCATGTCAAAGGACTGCCATTACCCTGTCAAACAGCAATCAAACGTTGTACATATCCAAATGTGGATGGTAGACTAACGTTTATCGAACAGGAATAATAGAGAAAAAGCATAATAAAGCATTGTGAAAGGATATCTGCAGTTATCTTTAACTTCACAGGATGATGTGGGCCCGAATTCTAGAAAGAGGCCGTAGCTACCATGTCAATTGAGGGAAAGGCAGGTTGCCCTCTCCCACTGCACATGCGCAGTGAGCACACCTCCGGTGGCCGGGTGGCAACAGCTAGGGGAGCAGAGGCAGGCGCACGCGCGCAGCGTCTGTGGAGCGTCCAGGCTGGAGGCCTCCTCCTCCCCGCCCCGCCAGCCTCCTCCTCCCCGCCCCCAGCTGGGAGCGGCGGGAGCAGCTCTGGGTGTCGCACCGCGGAAGGCTGGCAGGTTCGCCCTGCCGCTCGGCGCCGCAGGACACCGGTAGGGCGGCAGCGCCCGGGGCACCTGGCTCTGCGAGACCCGTTAGAGTTGAATTTGCAGCCCCCGCCCCTCAGCGTCTCCAGCTGTTCACGCACGTTCGGGGCCAGGGGACCGCGGTACATCTGTGCTTAGGACGCCAGCCGGCCCTGCCCAGTCCTCCCCGTGGGGCGGGCAGTTGTGCCTCGCCCCCCGCCTGGCCGCGCGTCTAGCCCGCTGGCCTTGCCTTAGGGCAGCCCGGCCCGGGAGAGCCCGGCGCGCCCGGCCGCCGGCGAGATGAGCTTCTTCGGCTTCGGGCAGAGCGTGGAGGTAGAGATCGTGCTGAATGATGCGGAGAGTAGGAAGCGGGCCGAGCACAAGACGGAGGACGGGAAGAAGGAGAAGTATTTCCTCTTCTACGACGGAGAGACGGTCTCCGGGAAGGTGAGCCTCGCACTCAAGCATCCTAATAAGCGTCTGGAACACCAGGGCATCAAGATCGAGTTTATCGGGCAGATTGGTGAGTTGATGCCCAGTGCCTCCCTCCCTCGCCGCGCCCGCGGGCCAAACGCGCTCTCGGGGCGGGGACCCCGCTGCGGTGGTGAGGCCTGTGGGAGCTCCCAGTCCCCTGCGGTGTGAGGCCCGCCCGCCGGAGTCCGCCCCTGCGATACCCTCTTCCCAGAGCACAGGGACTGCGAGCCGCGAGGGCGGCGGTGCGGAGGGCACAGGGGGCGTCCCTGCTGTGCCCCTTCAGGGTGGGTAGCTCGGCCCCGGCAGGCCCCGATTGTCCCTTCTGCTTGCCACTCAGCTGGGCTTCCCGCCTCCAGGATTTCGGAGTAAGATGCTCCTGCTTTAGCCTGCAGGTGGGTTTGTTAGGGAGGGACTGTGCTGCCAGCGCTGCTTTTGCCCTCCTCTGGCCCAAGTCAGGCTGGTCTTCGGTGCCTCACTTAGTTGACCTCCCCCAGCCCTTGTTTCTTTTAGCCGGGATGTGGGAGAGGTGGCTCACCAGTGTCTCCTGTCCTCCCTTCCCTCTGGACTGCTACCTGGCCTGTATTTCTAAGACTTCTTTATTAGGATGCTCATTTTCAGTTGACTCATTTTCTCCTTAGAGGCAAGGAAATGGTGCTCCTAAGACTAAAATTAAATGGCCCAAACTTCTCAATGCCCCAAGAGTCTTTAAACACAATTATTGATAATAGAACTAGATGGTAAAAGGCAGTGACAATACAGAAGATTTTGGAAGCTGCCAGTTAAGATGCAGTTGTCTCCAATTCTAAGACTATCCGAGGCTTGGTGTTTGTTAAAACTCTGAGGTACTTCTGAAATAAACTGTTTCTGTCATTAGGGCAGGAGTAGATTCACCGTTAATAACCAAGTGGATTAGAAAACCTCTGGCAGAGAGTTCATACCACACGCTGCACGTTTAACTCTGTTTTAGGGACTTCCTGGGAAAGCTGTTAAACGCTGTCTCATGTCCTCAGAGTTCGCCAAAGAATCTATTGTCCGCCTTGAGTAAAGGCTAGAAACATCTGCCCAGGGAGGAGAAACCCCGGGGAAGGGAGTCCCTGCAGCAAGTCTCTGCAGACTGTCCTCAGCCCGAAGGATTGGCCTTTAAGGGAATGAAACCAGGGTGAAGACCAGCTGATCCTACAGGAACCATTTTGTTGTTATTTCAAATTAAGATGTGAATGGCCTTTTATGTACTTGAAGAAATAGTCTAAAGGGTGAGTTTCATATACTCTGCTCTCGCTTCTAGCTTATGTGGGGTTTCTCAACAGCACACTGTTGACATTTTGGGCCTGATAATTCTTTGTTGGTATAGAATGTTGAGCAGTGTCTCCCATTTCTACTCACCGGATACCAGAAGCACCGCCCCCTGTTGTAACCTCAAAAGTGTCTTGAGATATTGCCTTGTGCACCCTAGTAAAATCCCCGATGGTGAAGAGCCACTGAGTAGATGAATCCAGAGCATTTTATGCTGAGTGTCACGTAAGAGATATAGTGGAGAAGTGCTTGCCTACGTAGCATTAGTATTTTCCAGGAGTAGTTTTAACAATGTTGCATGGATTCTTTGGTTCTATGATGCCAGTGTGGACAGGCAGATTTAGTCTGTGACTGTACTATGGTTCCTGGTGGCCGTACCTCGTCAGCATGCGAAGATAACCAGAGGGTCCGCTGCCCCAGCAATACTGAAGGCGCTTCTCAGGGAGAATGGCATCCAGGCCTTCTTCCAGTCTATTCTAAATGAAAGGGAGCTGAGGAGTCTGCTTGCTCTGCCTTCCCTGCCTGCCCTGCCTGATTTCTTGTCTAACTCCTTAGACCCCAGAGTAGCATCTCTGCTGAGTTTTCTCAGCACCTTTTCTTGCTCCCATTGATAACTGTTTCCAAGCCCCTGCGCTCTCCCAGCTGTGTGGCCCTTGTGACTCTGGGGAAGCTGTGCCCTTCTCCAGGCTGCTTCCTTTCCTGGGAGGCACAGATAACAAAATCGCCACACAGGAATGTTGAGATGTATGTCGGAGGATCTTGCGTCATGCAGAATATGGTGTATCTGTATGTACCTGAGACTGTGTGCGAATGACCTCTGGGCACCGGAGCGAGGCTGATTTTGTCGAAGCTGTGGTTTTGTGGTTTTCTCCTCCATTGCGCGTTGACTGTGTATGAAGTGGGTGGAAGTTCAGATTCTGATATCTGGCTGTGTGGGTGACATACAGTATAGGACTTACTCTCTGGGGGTAAGAAAGTTGATTGATATCTTGGTGATCTGTCCACCTTCCTCTCTGATTTCCATTTCAACTCAAAATTTTTCTTATAAGCCATAGTCTCTTTGATTTGGTTATTTTCTTCTCCCTCGTTCCCTTCCTTCTTTCCCTCCTCCCTCCCTTCCTGCCTTCCTTTTTCCCCTCCTCACTCAGAAAAATTAGTTCCTTAGCTTGACAATGAAGTGGTTTTTGTAATTAATCTTCTTATCCTTATGACTGGTTTATTTTTCTTGTGATGAGTATATTTGTCCCACCTGTGTATTCATTAGAGGGACAGCCTGGCAAATGCAGGGTCAGGCAGACTGCAGCATGTAAATTAGACAAGGCTCAGTTTATACTAATACAGACTTTGCTAGGGTCAAGACTTTGTAAGGACTAGAGAGAATATACATGAAGTGCAAGGCCTGGCACTCACAGTAGGTCCTCAGTAAAAGGGAGTTGAGATAATCCCTACCATTTCTCTTTCCCTGTTAAGATGGACCCATGAAGAAGTTTCCAGGGCTGGGCATAAAACAGTTCACCCTGCAGTCACCCCAGATTCCTGTGCTGACTCTCCACAGGGAACATTCGCCCCAGGTTAGCCCTGCCGTCAGCTGCCCGCCTGCCCACATAGCCTTCCCAGTGTTGTCTCCTGGGAAGCACAAAAACCCAAGTAAACCTCACGGGAGGACTTGCAGGGACAGCTGTTTGGACCCCTTTGCTCTCCATTGCTCCTAGCGGCCTAGGCCCTGCTCAGAAAAGCTCTTCTCTTGGTCATGGTTTGGAGTTAGACCAGAAGAGGGGCAACTTTTGTCCCCAGTCCCTTCTCACTCCGTAACTTGCTCTAGTAATCTCATCCGCACTCATCACTTCAGTGGCTTCTTATACTCTGCTGGTTCCCAAGTTCTTTCTCTGTTCTGCCCTGAACTCTTTTTGAGTTCCATGCCTGTGTTTCCCACTGCGTGCTAGACATCTCCACCTGGATACCCCTCCCCACAGGTCCCTCCAAGATGCATCCAAAACAGAAACTCCCTTCTCCTGTTTCGGCCCAGCCGCTTCTCCTTTTTGACTGATGTCACCTGGGCCCATCCAGCCTCAGACGTTTGGGAGTCATCTTAGATTCTTTATTCCTCCTCTCACACATTTAATTGTCTTCTAAGTTTTGGCCTTTCCCAGCAACTCTGATGTATCTGAAATCCACACTTCCTTTCCATTCTTAATGCAGGTGTTGTTGCTATTTGTAGCAAACAGTCTCCTAACTGGTTTTCCTGCCTGTCTTTGTTTTCTATTAGTTCCCCTTCTGTAAGAGTGAACTGTCTAAAAGGCAGCTCTAACATTGTCAGTCTCCTTAAAATTCTCATCAATTCCCTACTGGGTAAGGGAGGAAATATATCCAGCTCTTTCCTGAGCTGGCCCCTGCCTTTCTCTCCAGTATCATCTCTCCCTAACCCTTCACCTTCACCCCTTATAGTGTCTTCAAAGTTTCATGTTCTTTCTAGAATGTTGGCATCTTCCGTTTGTATATGAATGT